ATATGACCTACACTTGCCAGGCACGACTTACATCACTAAGCACCATTTTTGGTGTTAGGGCTTAAGGAAACTTCAGCTGAAAAGCACAGCAACATGCTAAAACTGCCCCCTGTTGATCTACAGCCACAAACAATGCCAGCCCCACCAAGCCATAAATAAAAGTAAAATAAAGACCCTCCCCAAGTTCTTCCCCAGATATTCAACCCACTGCAAATGAGATATTTTCATAGCTGAGGCTCCCCGTCTGCTACTCTTCTTAGTGCGAATTCTCACGTCACTTGCAGGTATGGACTCTCCTGTTTCCCAGTACAACGTGCAATGCACAACTCCTCTATGCAGTATCTTTTAACATGTGGTAAGACCCCAAAAGCAGACACAGCATTAGAACACCTCCAGTGAGTACTGGCCATGTAAGTGTTTCCACTTGAATGCTTTGCTCTTGGTGGAGCTGGGAGATGATTTAGGAGTTTCCATTTGGAATACCAAGAAGCTCCACAGGAGAGTTGGAGGTTTCTTTCTGTTGTTGGCCATCCTGCAGAACAGAACCCACAGCAACACAGCAGCATCACAGTTAGGGCAAAGTTAAAATATGAGAACCCTCTTACCATGAAAATGTCTTGGATCTGAAAACCCATCCTCCAAGGGCGCTTCCTGCTAGCTGTGTGATGGCGAACAGCAGCCAGGTTCAGGACCGTTTGCTGTTGCATCCCACGCACTTGTATACTCCCCTAAATGAAGACACTTTGGACCAATTACAAAAAATCTGTTATTCCATTTGGAATTACTAATTTGGGTATTTGATTTTTGATTTGTTTCACTCTGAGGTGTTTTGGAAGCACTAACTGGGGTGAAGTTTAAATTAAATTGGGACCATCAGCATCCCAGAGACAACTATTCAGGAGCACGCATTTAACATTGGATGTGATTACATGGGCTGCTTGGAACCACTGCTGCCTAACCCCACTTACACCTGACGTACTGTAAATGTTCATTACTAGCAACGTGCGAATATGAAGCAAACCAAAATACAGCAAAATAGCCTACACAGATATTTAGCTGTGAAAGCTGCAGAAAAATAAGAGAATTAAAAGGCAGAATCTTCACACAAACAGCTCTGCTGGATAACTTCATGAATCACACTTAAAGTCTTTGGTGCTATTCGATAAAACATTGTAGTACTACAGTACACAAAGCGAGTGACAAACTAACAGCTAGGCCGCGATGCTATCCAAAATGAATCACGAATAAAATAAACGGCAGCACTGCCAGCTGTCTTTGAGAACAACCTTACGCTTCTGGTTGCTTTCAGAGCCGGGCATGTCAGCCACTTCAAATACCTGGCGGAACTTTGGAAAAGAGGAGCACCTGCACCAGGCACCTCGGTGCTCTTTCCAAAATGTCTGTTATAGCTCTAACTACAAATCTGAGGATTGGGAGGGGGACAAGGTGTATTCTTCTAAAGCTACCAAACCAACCAGTGAGGATTACTTTACATGACTGGCGTGGTTCTCAGCGCTGTGCCAGGGCCCTGTGCAACACTGAAAACAACAAAGACCAACCAAGGCTGCTTATTTCAACAGTGATGTTCTGGGAGAAACATAATTTAAAAAAAAAAAAAGTACTCTGAGAACTTGGGTGACCCCATGGTGGGCAAACCTCAATGTGGAGGACTGGGTGGCTTATCTAGGTTCCTCTAACAGTAATATAACTTAGTCACATCTCTATTCTTTAAGATTTGACACTTTTGCCCAAGCCAAAACAAATCATCAGATTCTAGATGGCTGAGTGCTGCTCTGGGGATAAGTTTTATAAATCCATTGGTGAGATCTTTTACAGGTAATGAATCCCCCAAAAGATCCTCCTGCATGCTTTTGTTTGGAAAAAAAAAAAAAAAAAAAAACACAGACACAAAAAGGTCCCATTGGTTGACATGACAGATCCATATTGAAATTCCCAGGCTCTGAAATGTCACCAATAGACCAAAGGAATAAAGCATGAGAGTTCCCAAGAACCATTTTTAGGCTAAAAATAATGTGATTTTAGTAATCACTTAGAAGTTTTTCTTAGTAGACCTTAATTTCCACAAGCAAGCTGTGCTGCTTAGCAAGTATGGCTACCACAGAGCACCGTTAGACCAAACGTCTGTTTATCCTGAGTGACACAAACACCTCCAGCAAAGATGTTTCCTCCTACTTGCATCAGGCAAAGTAGAATTCACATCAGTGAATTACAAGTGCAAGTTTCTATAAAATCAGCAGAAGTTGTCATGGGACGATTAAGATTTGCCGTGGTATTTCACTCCAGTGAAAGTTAGTAACATTGAATGTGTAACGTAAATCTACACTCCTAAAATCCATTGCTTTGTCCAAGCAGAGAATCCCTTTGCTTAAGCATAAGTATTCATAATTAATTTTCAATTAAATTGTTAGATTCTGAAATACTTTTCACGTTGTTTACATCATTTTAGGTATCATACCGTGTTTTCATTTATATCAAACAAATTTTACATTAGATGTCACACAATCTTTTAAAACATGGGCGTTGCCAGCACTAGGAAACCCCTGACTGTTTAAGTCACCATTCATGGGTAAAGCTTTAGCAAAGCATATAAATAACATTAAAAATACTCATTGCAATGATTCAGAACATACATAATTCTAACTTTTCAGCTGCATACTTCAGTTTTATAGTTACTCATACTAATCATTCCTGTGCAGTGGGTATCAAGACTACATTTCCTACAGGACTTTGAGTACACCCTCATTTTCAGGAAGTTATGCATAGCTATAAAATTCACTATCAACTTATCACTGTTTGTGAGCAATTACCCTAACTGCTTGACTAGCCAATGGATCAGTTGGGAAAACGACAAGGGCTGGAACACTGGCAGGACTACAGTCCTCACGCAAACTGTAAAAATGGTCAGCTCAACTCAATCTAGGTTTTCCTGCAACATCTATAAACTTCAGATAGCCTTTATCTGCAACAAGTGGCTCTGCCATAATTACCTGAGGGTGTTGCCAACCAGAGTGAAACAGGGAAAAGACGAACACCATATTCATAATATATTAACATGCACGTAATGCTGCAGCTTAACAGTAAAACCAGGTTCAAATCCTGTTGTATGTACAGGATATTTGAATATCCTGTCCTTTATACAAGAACCATGTGGGTATGGCACATCTTGGCCCTTCAGTTCAAAAATCTCGAAGTCCAAAAAACTAGGCAAAAAGGACGGAGGTCATACATGGGATGAGGTTTAAAACAGTATAAATAATCACCTACATGAAAGCCAATATTACAGCTTACCAACTTAATTACTGAATTAGCTACAGGAAAGCGCGGATCAAAGCTAAATTGGATGAACAGTGATGTACCAAATTCTTAGCTCCGTATCAGCACAGATCTCATGAACACATGTACAAGAGGTGCTGCTTATGCTCTGGCATTGTTTGTGGGGCAAAACAAGTTGTGCTGCACCAGGGCAGTCGCTGCAGATGGTGTCCTAAGTTCATTTACAGCAAGCTGGCCGCTGAGCACTCACTGGAATATAACTCGCATTAATTTCCCCTCACAGTCAACTAATGTTTTAAACTATTCCCAGTAGAAATGATCACCAGTACAGTGCTCTTTGCAGGCAGTTTAACACCAGAGCAGGAACCAGCCCTGCTGCACGTCCATTGTGCTGGTGCTGGTGAGCACACTTTAGTTCTGCTGAAAGAAAAGATGCCAGCATTTGATTTCCCAGCAAGACAAAGTCCACCCAGTTTGCGGAATTGACACACCAGTGCAATAGCATACTCTAGAAACATCTTTACCACTTTGCTGCTAGTGTCCTCTTTTACGGCTTCACACTAGCTTATTTTCTGGAGGAGTTGGAAACAAAGGTGAGAAATAGAGCAGCAGATTTTTACCACTGGTAGCACAGTTATCAGGTGTCTCTGGTAGAACTGAAAGGATTTTACTGGGTAGTGCTATCACTGTCTTGCTCTGTACTCCTCCCATCCTTGAATTCTGCAGACTTGTGCTGGCTCTTGGATCTGAAAACCTCCCTGCTCTGGCCAGGTCCGTATCATAGCTGCTGTTTGCCTTTTCTGCTTTTATTTCCCCATTCTGCATTTTCCTACAGTAAGTGCCAAAGAGCTTCTTACATGACGCAACAGAAAGCTCCATCAAATTTCTTTTCTTCTCTCTTAAAGTTACTCTTTCAGAAAGCACAGGGAGAAAACATCTCTATGGCACAACAGACATCACAAGTTGGCTTCAAAGTCCTTACAAATAAGGTTTATTTCACCTGACATGTCCCCTAATCACTACTCAGTTCACTTCAAGAAGCAAATAAAAACAACCACATTTACCATTTCACCCTTACAAATTATCTGCTGGAGAAGGAGGATAAGTATTACTACACTAGTACTTCTCAGCCTCCTGTTCAACTTCGCAATATAAGCCCCCTCAAAGAAAGGCAGAAAACCACAGGAGTGTGGGGTGGTCTCAAATCACACTACTCACACAGAATTAGCAAAGAAAACCAGAAAGATGAATGCGATCAGACTTTCATTAGACAAAGCTTCTCTCTAAAATATATTTGTTAAGTGTAGTTTAAAGTATTGACATAAATTGTGCAAGAAACCTGGGCTTTCATTTGTTAAGCAGCCTGATCTTTGGCAATATGATTGTGACTAATGAGCTACGTTATGTGGTTTACATTATTATTTTATTGCTATTTAGTGAAAGATTTGGACTCACAGAAGCTGATGAAAAAAGAAAGCTTCAGTGCTTTTGCACTCAGAACCAGCTTCTCAACCTAATCTTTAGGACAATTCCCTATTTATTTATAAATTACAGGCAACACCAAATCCAATTTAAGAATTTGCCTGAAGCAGATTTTTGTCATCACAAATGGAAGAAGGATCAAAGATTCACCGTTCCCAGTTTGGGAGCTTCACCATGAAGTCTTCAAGAGCATTCTTAGAACACCAACAAAAAGACTACGTCACTTCCAACCACTCGAGTGTTTAATTCACATAATGCACATGAACTTGTTCTAACAGAGAGCACATCAAAACACACAGCAGTAGTTGTTTCTGTTTTACTTGGAACTCTCACTCACTTTCTACAAGGATACATTTGTGGTCAAGTTTTTACCAATTTAACCAGATCCATCCAGGTATTGAAAAATAAGTAAAATTCTTCTAATGAATCTTTCAAAGTAGAACACAAAATATAGCTTTGTTCCAAAAAAAATAGATGCACGAATAACTCTGTGTATCAACAACAGTTCTTATAACAAACTGTAGAACTCATTGGAGAACAGGCACTCTTTCTTCAAAGGGGTTCAAGACACTTATATTTAGCTCAATAAAACTGATTTTTTTACAAGTTTTTTTTTTTTTTTTGCTAGGTGAAAGAAGTGTCATTTAAAATTAATGAGACACCCAGAAAAGCAGCTCTATGACTGCAGTGGCTGAGGTTGGAAGGGACCTCTGAACATAATCTAGCCCAACCCTCCTGCCAAGCAGGATCACCTAGTGCACACTGCATAGAACTTGACTTCCCCTTTAGTACCAGCATATGTGGAAGAACAACATAGCTTGTATTTTTGGCAGCATTCCTCTTCAAAATTACTCAGCATACACTGATTACACTCAGCATAAAATCAAGGCAAGGCTCTGTAAACCCTTGAAAAATGTTCGTTCTGAGTTTCTAAACACTTTTTAATGTTCTCAACAGAAGATGGTCACTTCATGATTTGGGTTCCAATAAAAACACCAGAACTCCAATTACTGCTTGATAGGCCACTCCCAATGTCAAGTCATGTCCCTTTAAAATTTATTTGTAATAATTCATTTAAGCAGTGTTATCACAACATCCCAAAGAGTGAATGAAAAGTCATTCAGTGTTTTGTAGGAAAAAAAATGAAAGAAACTCCTAAACATGAAAGAATAAACGCAACTCAACACGAGGCTGGGAATACAGCAGCTCTGACTGCGTAATACTCTACACACTGACTCATCATTACTTAACAGCTGTAACAAAATTACACCAGAACAAAGAACTGCCACAATATTTTTCTTTTTGAGGTCAAAAATTAAGCTATGGGTGATCATTTATTATTTTCACTTTTTTCCACATTCAGTTTGACTTTGTAGGAATAAGTATGTTTTAAGTACATTTATTTTTCCATCATGTCACAAACAATAGGTTGAATTGAACAGTGGTGATCTGAAAGATATTCTGTCAGCTTTCATGCGAGTGTCACTATCAAGATGCAGCTGTCCAGCTAGAGTGCAGCTCACTTCTCAGAGTTTTTATGAGCATTAATTATTCTCCGTCGCGTCTCCTGGTTCTTGATCCTGTTTGCTTCATACTGGAAGAAAGATAAGGTAAATAATAGATCAGCTATTATCGTTAAACAGATAAGTCAAATTTAAAAGTGTAGACTTATTACTCATGAACAGAAACAGTATCTTTGATATATTAGAAATGCAGTTCATATTAATATCTATGTATTAGTTTATTTTTACTTTGAAATTAACATTTGATTAAAAAACTTATTTCTAAGTTAAAGTTTATTAAGCTAAATAGTATTAGAACATTCTAATAAAGAAGACTCAGTTAATCTTATGGAGGAAGTTAATTACATACCCATCTTAAGTATGACTGCTACACTTCCCATATGAACTAGGAAAAAGGTTGCATTGGTGCTGTTCTAAAGCACTGGTCAGGCTTTTGCTTTTAAAAGATATGAACTGATGCAAGTGTCTGCCTTCTGAAAAATGAATTTGTTGTCAGACTATTTTTTTAGTCTATTTTTTCCACTAACTTTTTTTTTTAAATGGAATGAGAACAATGGATCTTCAGAAATTTCATTTGTAGCTATTCTATGCTTGTGAACAACCTTTCAGGTTCTTTATAATAATACCATACTAATGTATATTTTAAGAAGGCAGACAAACATAGCCTTCAAGAAGGCTTTTTAATATAATGGCTTCAATGGAAGAAAAAAAACATAAGGTCACAAGGAAAGAAACGGTGTTTTTCAAATCCATGCTACAGTTTTTACAGGGTAAAAAAATGGTATTTGGCAGAAGTATAGATGAAATTAATTCCCACAGACCAATTGAGGGGGGAGCAGTAAGAGAGGGGCCCAAGCTGTTCTGGTTAGAAGGAACCTCTGAGTGTCAGTTTCTATTTGCAGTATTTTCTTGTTTAAAATTGTGTATTTGGTTATTTTTGGATCTCCAAAAATAGTCCATGCCATTTGTTAAAGCCAGATACCCACCCAAACTGCACAACGTGTAATGATGCATCTGAGACCCACCCAAGCTGCACTACATGTTTATGATGTATCTGAGACGTCCACCCAGTTTCACAAAATACAAGAAGTGATTATTGCACAAAGTTTTGTGCAAGAAACAATCATTCTGAACTGTACTCTGCAATTATTTCAAGATTTTTAATCTGACAAGAAAAACACTGAAATAGTAAAACGTGCAAGGAAAACTCATCAGCACGTATATTTATATCTTCACAGGAAAATACTGACTCTAACAGCATCCTCTGTGATCCCAATTGTTACTTCCAGTGTCTAATCTTGCTAAAAGTAGCAAGCAAAGAGAGAGTTGCATCTCCTAACTCACATTGATCTTAACACCATTTTGGGGCTTGTTCATGCAATATTTTTTTTTAGGTAAATTTGTCAGGTCAAAGTATAATTGAGGTTTCAAGAGCTCACTCCAGAATGTGCTTACATATTGAGGCCTCTTTATTGCTCTGTACTACTTAGTAAAACACAATTTCTATTGCATGGACTTTTAATTTTCTTGTATTAAATATTTAGCTTTTATTAACTTGTTTATTTCTTACCTCTTTCTTTAGGCACTTCCGCATCTCACGGTCAATATCATTGCAATGGCCAAAAAATTTCAAAATGTTGTGCTAATAAGTTAGAGAGAAGAAAAAAAAAATACAATTCAAAGGTTTCTTCCTCTGAAGCTCTAAACTTCTTAAAAGTCACTTGGGTTTTGCAACATATCCTGGCTGTCTTTTCCACCTCTCTTTTCCTGAAAAATGATGCTCTGTGATTTTTTTTTTTTTACTGAGTAGCCAAATGTTTGTTACTTCTAAACATCATTTGAAGCATCCCTATCTTGCTGAAAGTTTAAGGTACTCACCATGTTGTGTTATCAGACTGAAATGTGATACCTACACTGGAGCCATTAAATCTAAATGTAGAGCATACATTTTATTGATCTAGGAATCAGTCTTACAATTAGCACTGGCTTCATTAACATACAGAAACTTTGCGTTCTGAACTCATTTGTGATTTAGAAAGACTTAGGAAGATCTCCAGGCATCCCAGAGGCAAAGAACTCGGTGTTTCATTATCCCTACTATGTGAAGAATGTGTTGTGGGTCCAAAAGATGCAGCCACTAAACTTAAGTGACTGAAACATTAAAAGTAGTATAAAAACAGGATAGTTAATGCTTCCCCAAATATCAAAGTTGAAAAGGATGCATTTATCATCTTTATGACACAGCTCAACTATAGGCCTTGAGCATACTTAAGCGTTACCTAGTTTTCATTAGGGAAACTGATGCACATTTCTGCAGCTGATGAGAGGCTAGATGGATTTATAGAAACACGCCGAACACTATTAAGAGTTCAAATAGTGGGCAAAGATAGATGTCAGCCAATAGAACATGACTGAATTTAGGAGTGGGTTAATAAAGTTTATGACAGACACTTAACTATGGCAGTGCTATAATTAGCTTGTTTATACCTCTCTGCTTTATAAAGGGCATCAGATGACACCAAAGCAGTTGCATGTGATAAATGGTCACTTTACTTCAAGCTGATCTTGCTTTTAAAACATTTATATTTTATCCAATGTAGATTTAATATTTTATTCTATTCTCACACCAGTATGCCTAATTTCAAGGTGAGCACTCCACATTTCAATTCCACTCTTACTAGTACACACACCGAGTGGAATCTACATTTATTTAGGCAGACTCCTAAACTGTCAACTCATTTTGCCTCAGATTATGAGGGGGGGGGTGGGGAAATTGTTTTTTCCAAAATAGTTATTACTCCCATTACAGCGATATGAGTGCAAGACAATATGCATTTCTTTCAGCTGCCATCTATAAAAATAAGTCTTTTTAAGGCACACATTTGGCATAAGAGCAGAGCTGTTAAAAAAAAAATAATCAAAATAATGACATTGAATAGGAATGCCATTAACCTCTTCCCACTAGATCTAAGACTTGATATAATGGGGAGGTCCTAGATTAGGAATAAAATAAATCAAACTGACTTTTGTGAAAATGCAAATACAGTACATACAATTCCAGATAAGGCTTTTCACCCCTCAGGAACATTAATTTAAATTATATATGAAGGATCTTCATATATAATGAATGCTGAAGGCCATTTCAGCATTTTGACAAAACAGCAGGTAGTCACTGATAACTATAATTAAGATCACAGACTCTTCAGATTTCAGTGACTTCAATTTCAAAACACTATTTCAGTACATTTCCTTTCAATTTAAAACAAAAACTTATTGCTTCCTTTTAAATGGATGTGAAAGAAGCCATCTTCACTCTTCCTGTTTTGAGAGCCCTAGCACAAGTATGTTCTCATAGACAAGAACAAGACTGACAAAAGCAATTCCTCTTCATGTAAAAAGATGAGCTTCAAACCAAAACAAGAGAATATAATCGTGCGCATGACTGTATTATTGCTGTTCTTAATACCTTGCTAAGACAAATTGGCCACAGAATCCTTTGAATCACTTGCTGCCATTGAATTGAAGTACAACTTTCAGTTCCAGCTCTCTATTAAACCCAAGGTAGTCTAATAAGCTACATTATTTAAAATATATATATATATTATCACTCATTTTTTTAAAAAAGTCAGCCATTACTTTCAAATAGTAAATGAGTATTTGTAGATTCAGGTCAATGCATAGGAAGCCCAGCTACGTATGTACCAAAAAGCAGGACAAATCTGAGTGTAGTTTCTTTCCTGATTGGCTGTTTTCACAATTATGAAAATTCAAGACATTTTAATTATATATTGCCTATCAGTTTTATTGTCCTCTTAACTGAGGGTGGCAGTCGTTCAAATTGGCAATCCTTTTGATACCATAATAGTTAATGTACAAAGAGTCTTCTAGCTTAATTCTAGCTACTAAGCACCTGTACAACATTAATGTTGCTTAAAAAAAAATCAACTAAGAAAAAATTAATAAAAATAAAGTGGCTACAATCTCTCAAGCTCCCTAAAACAACATTTTAGGAAGACAAACTATAGAACTCAAGAAAAACAAACCTTACACTTAATACATCTTTTGACTTTAAAGTCTGGAGATGTTCTACCCAAGAACTCTATCTTAGGTTTAAAATATCTACACAGAGCATAAGAACAGAAAGACAATTGTGTAAGAAATGTCATGTATGAGATGTCATTAACAGATTCAAGGTTGCTTACACCTCAAAATATTGCAGTAACAAAAAATAAGCAAAATAAAATTGCTGAACAAACCCAGTACAGTATATTCATTAAAACTGAATTTTGCCATTAGAAGTCTGTTCTCTATACTGTCATAATGTAGAAATCAAAAAAGAATCAGGTACTACTACAGTTTTTTCTACATTAGTTTAGCTACTTTAAAATCAGATCTTCAAAAATGTTACCCCTCTTTCACCCAAATTTTTTCACTCGTATTTCATGTATTGTCAGTCTTGTTTTTCTTTCTGTAATAACTTTGGGAAAGATAAATTTAGAATTTTGATCAAAACAGTTAACCACATTATCAAAAAATCAAACATATCTGAACATGGAGGTGAAAATACTGTAGATTGCATGTGACCTCATAAGCCATTGTACATTGTCTTCGTATCCAACATTTAAATATACTTTTGTACACATGGAAACTAAAATTAGACTAACTTTTCATGTACGATTACATAAATATATCTGCACAGAACATCTATTTATAGTAACTCAGAGAACTGGGTATTATAAATAATAATGCAACAATGCTGCAGATAGCTTTCATTGCAGGGGCCGACTTCTACATCTGAAGTTTACTACTGATCAAATTTTTTAAATGGCTGCTAAACGAGAGAGAGGAAGTTTTCATCTTGAACCAGTGACGAAGCTGCAGTTGCCTCAAGACAACTTGGTATTTTACATACTAGTAGGTGCCCACTAAGGAGGGAAGTACCCATTCACATTTAGCTTTCCAAGCATTGAACGTAAGGCATGCTGCACGCCCTGATCCCCGTCGACACATCTGCTTATAAATAGACTAACGCATCTGGCCTGCGGACAGCTGGAATACAGAAATGCTGCAAGCATACAAAAAGACAGCATTTGAAGTTGCCTATTTTGAGAAAGAAACACACATGCACAGAGTACTAAAAGGCACAGAAATTATTTAAATTTTTTAGATAGGTCCACAGTTGTCAAGCACTAGCACAGAAAATTTAAAGTTTCCTTTTATTTCCTTAGGACATCACAGCCAAAGTTTTACACACAGTTGTCAGATACCTCTTCAGTGAAAGTATACTAGTTACGTTTCCTGGCTGATCTGCCTAAAGGAGGTTTTTTCTCTCTATGATCATGACACCCCCACTAATTTATCTGAGGCTCGTTTCCCATCCCACCCACCCTTTTCTCTGCTCAGAACTCCTTACCTCCTTGTGACATTTCTTGAGCAGACTGATAATTAGGTTACATTCTTCAGTGTGCAGATGAGGAGACAGGTCTGGATGCATCTTAGGTAGCAATGATGTTAGTAGTTCAAGGCCAAGAATCTGAGAAGATAATATTAAAATATATACATTAAAAGTATAAAAAAGTATAAATAAGAGTTCAAGTTGACCACTTAAGAAATTATCACATATTATACAAAAAAATAAAAAATGCTGCTTAACATGCAAAGTTCATATTATACAGGTAAGGCAAGTAAAACCAGCACACGCCTTTTGTTTATCTGCAGAGCCCAAATATTAAAGTTTAACTGAGAGTTTATATTCTTTGTGATCAAAAGAGGTGAAAGCAGTATTTCAGATGTGGCCTCAAGAATGCCAAGAAGAAGGGAATAGTAACTACCCTTGATCTGCTAGGTACACATAATAATGCAGCCCAATATGCTGTTAGCTTTTATTGCCGCAAGGGTGCACTGCTAAATCATGTTTAACTTCGTGTCAGCCAGGACCCCCAGGCCCTCTTCTGCAGGGCTCTGTGAGGCAGGAGCAAATTTGAGATGTATTATTTTTTTTAAATATTACTTTAAAATTATATATATTACGTTTAAAAATATATATATTCCCAGAAGTAATTTTCAAGATCTTTTGTTGCAAGGGATGATAATGTGATACAACAATGGTTAAAATAATGACAACTTTGTTTCAGAAGATCACTGTACCAGGGAGGGAAGTAAAAATGCCCAGTTGTACTAGGACAAGTAGACATCTTCACAAAATTCTCCTTATATTAACAATACTGACCCTTAGTTAAATAGATCTCTTTTGGCTTGTTTATTTAGTATTTTTTTCATCCTCCCTCCTCCCAAAGAGAGCAGCTTACTAGCTGCAAGCATCAGGCAAATACCACTACACCTTGTACTAAAGCTGTTGTCACTGTCTTAACATTCCAGCTAAACAATCTAAACATGAGTAGTCAAAGGTCAGATTTTACAATTGCAAACTTCCAATGTTCAGCTGCAGTGCTGGCAGCTATGAGCTACTCTTCTATTCCTAGAATACTCAAGTAATAGCTCCTCAAGCCAAATATATCTATACTAATTTACCCAGTATTTCCCATCATGTGTTCTGCTTAACAAGAATTATATTCCCACAAGCAAACAAAATTTTTAAAATCCAAACAAGTTTACAAGGCTCTGGAGACCAACGAGAATACATTCGGCATCATGTCGCAGAGACTTCCAGTCATTTATTTCAAGACTCTCCCCCATGCTATCAGGAAGTCTAACATTACACTACACACACTCCTAGCACAGAAGCTGGAAACCACGCAAGTTGCTTAAGCATTCAATTCAATAAATTAACAAATGAGCCTTTAGAAATATGACAGCAGGCGCATGACTGTAACAGCAAAGTGATTAAGAACCCTGCTGTGTTATTGCCACCAGCTTTTGATTGCACACCACAAAGTCAATATGTTTTAAATTTATCAGTAGAATTTTTGAGAGCACCAAAGTTAGCATTCCCTTGAGAGGGTGACCTGCTCGATGTCTGCACATTACTTTAACACACAGGAACCCAGGTTGATTATTAAACCTCTTCATCATTCAGCCTCTGACCGCTCTTCCCGAAACTGTCATCTGAGCTGGCTGTTTCAGAAGAAGAAAGCAATGGTAACACCCTAGAGAAACAGGCAGCGTGCACATCACCGCGTGCCAGAAAGTCAAAGGGAGTATTTCAAGTAAAGAATCATTCTTTCTAAACTAACATTGGTAATCACTGCCATGTGCACAAAGTTTTCTCAGAAAAGCTATCAATGGCACAAACAGGTAACAATTACCACAATTGTATTTCATCAATTAAAAGCCTTCTAATGACACCTGACTCAAAGGAATCCCCAGTGGCACCTCTTGCAGGTCACAAGACCAAGAAGTCACACCAGTTCACACATAGGTCAATGCTCCTTACATTAATTTTCATATAACATTCAAATATTAAAATATTTCTAGTTGTTACCAGATACAGCATGAAGTTCATGTAGGCTACAAGAGATTAAAATAACAAGACATCTTACAGAGGTCATGCAAGGCTTACCTGGAGCCTTCAAGTACTTTTGAAGTTCACAACTGAACAGCGTTATCAGAGCTAAATATTATATTTATGTTCAGGAGTATCAGGCGAGCCAGCAATCTACAAATGATCACATAAGGCTAAAATATTTTTGCCAGAGGGGAATGACTAAAAGAGAAAGAGTTTCAAGGGTAACAAAAATATGTGTGATAAAAGAGTATGAGCTGCTGGTTTCTTTAGCTGCTTTTTAATAATCCTGTAATGTACAATGAAGACAGCAGGTTGCCATCTTACTAAAATTTAAGTCCACATGGACAGAATTTTATATAGTTGATAGCTCATAAGGACACTAAGTATGAAAAAGTACTAAAAAAATAAGCAGAAAGATTGGGAAAAAGCCATATAAATCACTCTGAGGAAACTATTAACCGAAATGCTGGATAAAGAATGTCAGCATAAACATGAAATTGCTGTAGAAAAAAATATTAGCAGTAAAGTAGAGGAAAAATATTAGGAAAATACAGCAATTATATTAAGAAGAAAATGGACTGTAGAATGCTAAGCAAACATTAATATCTGAAGCAAATATTTGGAGAGAAGTATTTAGATGAACTTTCTACACAAACACATGGACGTATTTCATCGTATCGTGAAAAAGTATTCTGCCCTTCAATGTGTTTTATACGAGATTCTGAATTCTGCAGTTTGTCCTTCCTTGTTAAAAATTACAGTATAAGTTTAGCTAAATGATTTGGTTCAAGTGCCATAAAGAACTAAGAACTATTAGCCTCTGAAGGTGGAAGACACGGATAAAGACAATTGTTTTTGTCAACTTCCTTAACCAGTTTCTAAATCTACACTATCGTTAAGGGGAAAAAAAAAAAAAAAAAAAAAAGGAATTAAAAGCGCAGTTCATCTTGAAGTGAGGAAAATAAAGGATGTTCTAGCTTTATGGTTTCCAATATAAAACAGATTTTTAAAGAATCAAAAGCCTTAACATCTCTGACACCGATACTTAATTTCCAGTGATGACATTTTTTTCTTAGAAAAATAATACCTGGAAGATAATCCACACGTAAGCCATCTTGAGCACTACGTATATCAAATCGCTAAAGACTTCCTAACAGGAACCAACATATAAATTGAGAATCGACACTCTTAATCTTAAAACCTATCTACACACTTCTTCAGTACGTCAAATATTTATTTTTAATGCATAGAAAGAATATGCAAGTATTATAGAATTACAGATACCTAGCTAGTAGTCAGGAACCAAAAGGCTGTCCAAGAAGAGGCCAAGAACACTGCATGCACTTCACTCACACGCCTGTTAAGACAAGATCGAGGATGAAGTGCTTGTTGCTCTCCAGTCGCTGGCTTCTCCTCCTGACCTCCTTATGGGAAATATCTAGACCTGGGGAGAAGGAAGGGGCTTTGTACATTCCCTCTTCTTCCCCAAATGAAGCGTAAGACCAGCACGTCAGGAATCCAGGGAAAAAAGGAATACAGCTCCTTTCTCCTTTTTCCAGAATCTCCTATAAAAGAAGAACCAATCAGGTTCTTCTATCCCAAAGCAGAAAGAAAAGTAGATGAGGTTGCCTTTTTAGGCTCACTGATTAGCTTAATGCTTAATATTTCCATGTTTGGGAGAAATCTATTGAAGTTTCAATTTAGGTAAATGTTTTTCTCAGATTTTTTCCATATTTCATTAGAATGTGTTAAAAGGCTATTTTTTAAACCAAATTTTGCAATTTTTTCCATTTAAAAAGTTGCACATGTAAGTCATTTATTTATTTTTTCCAAGTTTCCAAAGACAATAGTAAAGAAAAAAAAGAAGCAGGAATTCACATAGTGATCAGAAAAAAACGACTATTTAGAGTAAAACACAAATCCTTGTTTGTCAACACTGAAGATGAAAAATTGCAGCTAACTGCATCCTCATTGTTACTCACTAAGATCCTTAACCCGAAGCACTGAGCTTTCTACAGCACCACAGAACGCTTACATTTGCTGCACACACTCAAATAACACCCACAGGGCAGCAGTGCAACTAAGAATATGCTAACAAAGGAGGGAAAGGCAGGCAGACCTACAAACTCCTAGAAAACCACTGTATCCCATGGGTAACATTCATTTTGCACTTTATTTCACTGTCCAAGTTGAGTAAGGCCACACATTTTGGTCTGAAGTTCTCAGTTACACAGTATCGTCCAGTTTGACTTTGGACAAAAATACTTACAACTCACCAGCTGTTTGTTTACTAAAATCATTGCCATTTTTCTGTAAGCTTATGTGAAGTTTCAGCATAAAAAAGGATTCAGCCGCAGACCTAGCCAGTCTAGGTTACCTGGAGATACTAGCCAAATCATTTGACCACAATTTCTGCATTCCTAGTATTATCAGTCTTTGACATTAACTTACGAATGTTTCTGATGATAGCTCAGAGTACTCTAAAAATTCAATGAAGAGAGAAATCACAACTGATTAATAGGAGTTCAAAAACCTGGGAAACTGAACTAAGGACCCTGTTTTCAGCTTTCATTAACAGGGTTAACATCTTCCAGATCAGGATATTCTAGTGTCATTCTATGCTGCTGTTCTTCCATTGCCATTAAGCAGGCTGAGAATGACCCTTAGCTTGCCCACTCTTCCAATAAATTTAATGGTGAATAAACACCTTCACTTTAATAAATAACATTTGGCTGAATCTTATTAAAAAGTAGTCACAATCTCTTAAACTTCAGTCTGTGTTTTCCAATATCACATATTAGAATGGAAGGGGATTAATAATTTAGATATGTGTTTTTGAAGACTTGTAAGCAGCAAGGAAACAGAAGAAGCAGTGTGGGGGAATGATGTCACTTTAAAATTTTCTTTATAGATTCTATTTACTTTCTCTGAGCCTAAAGGATAAGAAAATAGCCTGGCAAATAAGATTCAAATTTGTTTTAATTTTTTCATGACTGCCTTCTGCCCACAGTTCAACATCCTTCCCATTAGAATGACTGCTCACCTGTTACTCTCAGCAGTAAATACCCGTTAAAGCGAGATGGTAGCCAATTTCACACTTAACAAAGCAAGTAAAGAAGGCATTAGTCCTAATGAATGAAGCAAGCTGAACGCTAATTTGAGTATTAAGTAATTTCCACAGTTTCATTTCTGACTAAAATAACAGACCAACTAAAGCACAATCGGGCATTTTCTCCTCTTATTGATTACTTAAGGACATATTCATACAACAAGCATCAGTGTAAAGGGACAACTCACAGTATATTTTTATTACAATTTGCAGTAAGTTATACTGTACAATACATCACAAGATATTATTGATGTAATCTCCTTCTATTCCTGCTGCCTTCCTACTATGACGGATCACATTTTACTCTTAGATACTCAAAAGCTACTGATTGCGCTCAGCTTGGCTGCCCTGTATTCATAAACCCCACGTTCTCCCTATCCAAATCCAAGTGTCCTTAGAAAAAAGCGACCAAGTGGAGAGTTACAGATCACGTTCCTTGGCAGACTAATGGCAGCACTATCTTGGTACTACAGCTCCAACCATGCAAATGCACATTTTCTTGCAAGAGGCGCATTCATCCATAGTTTTCAGGCATTTCAGTAAACTGGATTGCAAGATTGTGCTATTAACAGACCTATGATATTAGATCTCAGAAGGAAAATAAGACTATTCAGTCAAGAATGACAAGACACAGTGAGTATAAAGTTAAAGTATGCCAAAGATAAGGTGCTGTAGACAAATTCCTGGTTTGTGCAAGCTGCTCTTGTGCTTGTTGCATGCACCAGGCCAGGCTTCACTTTATTGCTATTTCATTTCTTGATCAAACAGGTAAGAAGACCAGAATTTAATAACTAGGAGAATTTCCTTGTCTACTGTACACGTATTTTCCTACTTTTGAGAGAAACAGACACAGAGGACCACGCTCCCATCAGAGCGCAACGCCTCACCCCTCGAGCACCAGGAGCTGCTCAAGGAAGCCGCACAGCACTTGGCAGGAGGCTGCCAGCGTTACACACCTCCGCTGTGAGGAGAACGGCGCTGCTGCCCCCAGTTATCAGAACTTACACAGAGGAGGCCACACCACACACTGCTCTCTGCCCCTAGCTCTCAGCACTCCCAATAGTCTTTAAAGCCCTGTGGGGACACGGGAAGAAGAGCTCAGGGAGCTGTAACGGGCAGTCCCCCGCTCCCTGACAGAACAAGGGGGCTGCGGGGAGCCCCCCTCGAGCCAGGACTGAGGGCGTGAGGCGAGCAGGGGCACCCAGAGGGCGGCCCCAGCACAGGCCAGGATAAGGACAGGGCTCCTCAGGCCAGGCTGCACAAAGACAGCTCCCCTCGAGCCCTCCCTTTAGAGCCCCTCTCTCCCTATAGAGGAGCCTCCCCTCGCAGCCTGTCCCCTCGGAACCTCCCCCCGCACTTACTCCGCTCCCCAGGGCCGAGCCCCCCAGCACCGCCCCACGGCGCCGCCCCCACCTCAGTTCCCGGCCGGAAGCCGCCTCAGCGCGCCCGGCGGGAAGGGGCCGCGCGCGGAGCGGGGCTCGCTGGCATTGGCCCGCCCGAGCACGGCGCGGCGTCTGATTGGGCGCTTCGAAAGGCGGGCGGCGGTTGGCGGGGCGCGAGGCGGGCGCGCTGCTGCTGCTGCTGCTGATGCTGCTGCTGAGGCGGGCGGCACCGCGCGCCCCCCTTGCGCCCGCCGCCTGAGGTGTTTTTGAGGTGCTTCTGAGGTGTTTCTCGTCATGGATGAGGTCGTCGCCGAGTACATCCGCAGGACCGTGCTGAAAATCCCCCGCGATGACATCCTGGGCGTGCTGCGGCAGTGGGGCTTCCTGTCCGACACCCAGCTGGGCGCTATAAACCTCCGGCAGACCAAGGAGAGCATTTCTCAGGAGGTGGTGCGGCTCTGTGAGGTGAGCCTGCCCCTCGGGGCTGCCTGCCAGCGGCCGGCAGGGCACCTATTGGATCGCCAGTGGCTAAAATGGATTTTATTTGGCCATAATCTAGCATTAAGTGATAGGTTATAAGCTGGGAGATGTCAAGCAAGGCCAGTAACAGCCTTGGTTATGCACGGTTGGTTGGAGTGCAGGGTTAGCTCTTAGTGAACATGGAAGTACCGTGTTTGGAGCCCTGAGGTGTATAAAGCAGTTAAAGCTCAGGGTGTCAGCTCATTACAAAATGAGGATGTTTCTAAACTATAAAATGAAGGCATTAATTGAGATGTCTACTCTTTATGTAGTGCTGGTGAAAAGCTCTTTCATGCAGGTAATGACAGCATTAGTTTGTCTGCTGGAGCCTCCTGGATAACATATGTAGTGCTGTAGGAATGATCAAGCACACTATAATAACATCCTTATTTTGCTGTGTAAGCATATGCTCAGGGTTGGCTCGTGTAAATGTAAAATTTTGAGGATTTCCGCAGTTTTGTATATTCAGTGGTTCTGTCTAGAACTCTCCAGGGCTATATATACCTGGGCTGACACCTGAGTGCTCTAAATTTCCATGCTGCTCCTTGTGAATTAAACATAGATTTGTGGGATTTCTTCTGGTTTTTGCTCGTTTGTTGTTTGTTTTTGTTTTGATTTCCCTCCCATTTTAATATCACTTGCTTAGTTTTTGGAGGAGACTTTTCATAAGTTCAAGTTTTTGAAAAATTTCCTTGTCTAGAACTACTTCCATTCTGCGCGCTGCAAGCAGAAAAGTTTTCTGATCTGCTACTTCTGTTGTACTCTGCCTCTGGTGTATCAGGACTAATATAGTATCATAACCCAGAAGTGACAAATACAGTTAGTATTGATACATCTTATATTCTGTAGCTTTTGTAGTTCTCTTTGAATTTCATACTCAGAGATTATTTGCCACAAAAGGATCAAATTAATTACTAAGTTATTCTTAGGATCAGAATTTTAAAATTGTATGTTTTTGAAATACTTGTCTATAACATGAAGTGTCATGGTTTCTTATATCTTTTTATGTAAACATAATACGTTTATGGAATGTTTATGTAAACATTAAATAAAGAACCAAACATGTTAAAGTTCCCAACAGTGAAATACTAGTCAACATTGCATACTGTCATTAATACCCCTTAGTTTTACTTTCTAATTGCTTTTATATCAGACTATGTTCTTGCTATTGCTGCAGAAGAAACTTAACCCTGCTGAAATAGCTTTCATTACTGATATCTCTAAACCATATTGTATGTATTGGGACCATCTTTGGTATCTTAGAGGAGAGCGAGGATGCTGTGGACCTGAGTGCAATGTGATTTAAACTACCTGTCCTGAGATTTTTCCCATCAAATAGTACAATAGAGCATTCTGGAAATGCAGGTCAGTCACCATGCTCTCATTTTTCATTCCAGGAAAGTTCTGCAGACCTAAAGCAAGCAGCCATTCTGGACATAATTTGTAAGTAAAAATAACTTCCTTTTTTCTTTTTTTCCTGAGTAACTTGCTAAGTCCTTTAATTACATAGCAAGTGCCTTAATAAGGCATGGATGCATTTGTTGGAAAAAGATTACATTTTAGATTAATCCTATTGAATCTGGCCTTTTTTTTTTTAATTTCCAAAGTTCTAAATCACCAATAGCATGTTTGTTTCTCCTAAATTCTAAAGAGATGTCAACCCAGAACACAGCTGTAAATGTAGAGACTTTCCCAGCTTGCGCTGAACCCTAAACTTGTTTGGTTTTAGGTCAAGTGCTTCTTTAAAACATTAAATATCCTTTATTAGTTGCTTAACTAAATTACAAGTGATCTACCTATCTCTATTAATTAAAAAAGTATTTGGCTATTAGGTTTGCTATTGATAGTAGTTAAGAATGCTGAATAAATTTTATTGCCTTATCGGAGGTAATGACCTGGTCATAAAAGTATAAAATGATATAAAATGATTTATTCTTTTAATTACTTTTGGATGATATGTTATTGAGCAGTTCCTATTTTTCCTAGACAACAACATCTATCCAAACAAAAGAATGTGGAGTGTTTACCAGATGAAAAAAACAGGTAAAGTACCTTTCCGTGCTGTTATTGTCCTTAGCAGCTTACTGCAGTGCTGCCTCATAGCATATATTTTAAATACAAAGTCTATTAAAGAATTATCTTTAATGTTTTTCAAGTACTTTTAATTTTAAATTTTCTAGCAATTACTGGAAATAATTGGAAAGTAATTACTAATCAAATAGTAACTTATATATATATAATTATATATCAATAATGAGGCTCATTTAATATACAGCTCTTCTTAGAAGGCTATGCAGCATCAGCATTTCTCTCCTTAATATTGTTTCAGAAAAACTGTGAAAATCTCTTATAAACAGAATTTATTTTCTTGTTTAACAGGGGAAGAAACGGACTTGTTTGACTTTTCAAATTTCAAAAAGAAGTTTAAGGGACGACTTCAGTCAGCTTTGAAAAATGTAAGAAAAAAATCCTTTCTAAACTTGTTGCACAGGTTGGGTATCAGTGGATTGTTTCCATAAGATTAGCAAGATACTTTTTTTTCTTACAATCTGCATCAAAATGAAATGGAATTATTCATGGTATGAATGATAAGAAGTGTATGAGAAATAGGAAAAATTTATTGCATATTTGTTCTATTAACCTTACAGTTATGCTGGAGCTAAATAAAATATGAGCTTGTCTTGAAATATGGCATTAAAAATAGTTTCTGGTTTTAAAGTGACGTTTTTTGATGGTTGTGAGAACTTAGCTGTAACTTTTTATATTACAATGAGTGAAAGATCTGTCAATAGCAAGAAGCAGTTTCTAGTCTACAAAAATGAGCATGGTAAGAAAAGTCTTGAAAGGAGGTGCTATCATCTTATTGTTTTTACTGAGCAATTTGTAGAAGTCTTTCCTTTAGCTTAATTGCTTTGTTAAAGCCAGGGAGCAGAAAAATGCCTCTGAATAATTAGTTATCACTTCTTGACACAAAGTATTCCCACTGACAAACAGTAGAGGGCAACAAATACAAATCAGACTAACAAGTAATCATATTTCATTCATAAAGCTCAAGTAGATTTGCAGTACCTTCATTTAAAGAAAGGGGGGGGAAAAAGGCTTATAAAAACTTTGAGAGGTGATATTGGTCCACATACATGTATTCAAACAGTTTCCAACCTACTTGTACAAAGAGCTTGACTGTGTGCCTCTGTCAAAGCAATTTTTTTGTCAAGGAAGTTTTCCCACTCTTGTCTCCCAGACTGAGTCAACGTAGAAAGCAGCTGATCATAACAGTAACTGAGGTGCAGTTCTACAAGAACAGGAAAGGGAATATTCTGCAAAATTCTGACTGTGCATTCTTGAACAGTGTTAAATAATATGTTCAGGTCTAAAATAGCTAAGTTGATCAAAAGTTTAGTTTTTCAAATGTCTGATTTTTGAAATAGTGCTACTCGTCCTCCAATTAAATAGACACGTTTTTGTTGTGTTGCTCTTTCCCCAAAAGAGAGAATTGGGATTTTTGTAATAAGTAATTTCAGTTCCCACTGATATACATGTTCTTCTGAAGGAGGAAAATAAAAAACATACTACAGTTTGAAAGGTGACTTTTTTCTGTGAGATTATCATTTTCCTGTGGAAATTTGATTTAAATACAATCCTTACCACGCTAGTGGGATTTGTTTCTTATTCAAGCAGTGGTATAGTATATTGTGGTGGGTCTTGTGATTGCAGGTTTAATACCTTAATTTTTCTGGACACCTGAATGTCCATTTTGCATTTCAAGTAAAACTTTTTTTTTATACAGGTCACCATCAGTTTTCGAGAATATGAGGACAATGCAATCTGGATTAGAATTGCCTGGGGAACACCATATACAAAACCAAACCAGTACAAAACCAGCTACGTTGTATACCATTCACAGACTCCCTACGTCTTCATTTCTGTCTCTATGCTTAAGAGCAACTTACCTCTGCTATGTCAGGTATAGAACAAAACTGTGTATACCCTGACTCCACCACAGTCTTGTGGATCTATAATTCTGTTAGCTTCTAAGAGGAAGGGTAAAGATTGGTCACTTAATGAAATATTTTAATTTGCATGAGGTTTTTTCCCCCTTAGGTCTTGATTGAAAAAAAAAAAAAAAAGTGGGGGGACACAACTCTCATCTTTGTGACCTTTAGAATGTGCATCGTGAATAAACTCAATTTATTGTGATTTGCTGACCTTAAATTATTCTACTTTAACCAAATGTTAGGCAATATTGAGTTAAATTATCTTACAGAAGTTGAAGTTAAATCTATGTAGTTAACAGTTCTTAAAGTTAACAATGTCAAGAATTAAATGCACAAGCTCATCAGGCAATGTTATCTTTTTCCATAAAATTATCATGTTCAGTGTTTGTACTCTTTATCTGTTCATCAGATGTTCATACTAGTGATTTAATTATTTTATTAATCTGCTTTATTTATGTATTTTTAGCTGATAAGGCTATCTGATTATTTGGTTAATCTACTGAATGCTTTGTAGATTACCCTATACTTTGTAAACATCTATGCAGCATCTTTAAGACATGAGTCCTGCTAGTTAAAGAGCAGTTGCTCCCCTTGAAACAAAAACATCTCAATGTCTAGAAATTCTCTCTTTTTCTATACTATAAACACAGTGATGATTAAAACTGATGTTAAAACAATTTCAATTTTTATTTAAAGGCACTGGTTGTTGCTTCCAATTACCATGACATCCGTGAAATGGAGCTTCGAAGTCATTGTTTAAACTCCCTTAAAGATATTGTGTTTAAGAGATATAGCCAGGTGAGCCGCTTCACAAGTACATCCTAAGATGAGTCTTGCTTTTTGTTTCAGGCCTAGTTCTCACCCCCTAGCAGGGGAAAAATTCACCTCTTCCAAGAGATCATCAAGTTACAATAATATTGAACTACTGAGGTGGACAGCTTTTCATTAAGGTAACATTACAGTGGTGATGTAATTACTTGGTAGCCCACTTATTTTTTATTATTCCTGATGGTTAAACTTAGTCTGTGTACCTGACCAATTCGATCCTAGGACTTTTTAGCATTGTTTCATTAAGCTTCTTAGAGTAATGATTTGGAAGCTGTTAGACACTTACTCTGCTCACCCATGTAACACTTGTAATTAGGGAAATGTTCACAAATATCATAGGATGGGGATCGTTTCCTCAAAATAAAGCTGGGCTTTGTACTCTTGTAGTTGTCAAAAATTGAAATACTCACTTTCAGAACAAGAAGTGAAAAGAAATCTGGAAAGTTCTTTTAAGCTAAAGCCTCTAAAAGCAGAAGTGAACTAAATTCTTTTTTTTTCCTTTTCATTTTTCCCCAGAACTTCCAGACCCACTATCCAAAACAACAAAAGAACGTACCCACGGAAAATGGTATGTGTGTTTGAAGTGAAATATAAGTTTGAATGTCATTACTTGTAAGGTTTGCACTTTAAAATATCTGGCTTACTAAATGAGGTTCATAATAGGGAATGTGCTTGTGTTACATTGACATATTATCCATCCCTGGATAATATGGGTATCACTAGGAGAGGTAAATATTTTCCCCGTGACTGTCACTGGACACATGTTTATGAAAGCAAGAATATACAATGACCTGCATCTCCTTTCCTATTAGCTTGTTTTCTTTCTTGGTAATGAATGAGAATACATGTGATGCAAACAACTACCTTATGAAACGATGATGAATTCTTTAAAATTGTTACTTCCAATTTTTTGTTTGAGCATTCACGCGATCTGAAAAATAATATTTATATCAGCTGAAATGGTTGTCTTTTTATTGCTTTGTTTCTGATTATATTTTTTTTTTCTTCTTTGCTTCCCTGCTTTTTTCCCTGCAGTGGATGTAAGGATAATTCAAGAAGACAAAAGTGAGAAAGAAAGAATACAGAGAGTGAATCAGGAAGTTTTTGGTGATGGTCCCCAACCCAAACTTGAATTTGCACAATATAAGGTAGTGAAGTCAATAAATTTTGTTTTGTTTTTCTGTAATTTTAACATAGTTATAGCTATGTTAAATTGCAAATAATAAATGCAGTATTTATTCAAACTTCAAGGAAGACATTTTAAAATAAATCAGTTAAAACTAGCATTGGAAACAGATTTGCATTGAGACTTGGTCAAAACACTAGATCATGTTTCAGTCTTTCAACCTTGTTAATTATGCATTTTGACTTGGTTTTGTAGCAAAGCTAGACTTAAACATGCCGTGTTTTGAGGCATGAGGAATTACAGTTACTTGAAGTACATTTAAAGCTCACATGACATATAACACCGTCATTTAACTTCATGGATAATGCTGATTTTATCTGATAAACAGATACGCTGGAAACTCGGAGATTCCTAATGATTTATTGTGTTATTGAACTGGCTGTCACTTCCACCAGAGAACTGTTTACCACAGGGTGGCACCCTCTGATTTTATTAACAAAATATTTCTCCAACTAGAATCATGTTGCCATTGAGAAATATAGATATTTTTTAAGATGATTCTTCTCCTACCTCATTGTTCAGACTGATTTGATAATTTCAGAGATAACAGTAGTTTCATAAACACTTAGGGTGCTGAAACTTGCAGAACACGTCATTGTGACCTTGTTGGCTACTAATCACTTTTGTACTTGACTCAAAAAGTTTGAAAAATTAAATATACCTATTGAAAGTGAGTTGAAATATTACTTACAGCTGTACCTACTCACACTGATGTACAAGCTATTGGGCATACAGCTCTACACTTTTTGACTCTGAGTGTATCATGTCATACAGACAATGCAATTTCTGTTCCAAAATAAATGATTCTATGATTCCCCAAATATTACACTGTTTGGATAATAAACACATAAAATGCATGCATTTCTTATACTGCCTGGAAATTTTGTGTTAACAGCTTGAGACAATGTTTAAAAGTGATCCTAACATGGATGTTTTGGAGAGAAGAGAGCCATTCAGATGTCTGGTCAAGTTTTCTAGCCCAGATCTATTAGAATCACTGAAATCCTTGGCGCCAGCAGGTAAGCGTTCCAACTCAGTAAAATGCAGGAAAAATATTTTAATAATTTGAAGTTTGAATATTTTAATCATTTTCCTTGCTTCTTGTACCTTGCATAAGAGAGTCTGCATGGTTTAGAAATGCATAGAAATTTGGTACAAAATAAACATAAAAAACATAAAAATGTTACCATTATAAAAACCTCACATCTAAACACATACCTGTTTATTCTTAAGTTTGCATGTAGATACTCAAGCTGTGTTTTCAATTATGTGACAATTATGAAAGGTGAATATTGGCTGAGGTAAGCTATAATTATCTGTTTCTGTCTGCAGGTATGGCTGATGCCCCTCTTTCGCCACTACTCACATGCATACCACAAAAAGCTAGGAATTATTTTAAAATTAGAGAGAGGAAAGATGTCCTTCCAGGAAGCTTTGTAAGCCCTTAATTTAAAGAGATTTTTTTTCATATTGAAATACACATTTTGTTTGTTACAGATATTAGTCTAAATAATAAACTTTTAAAATTTTAAAATCTTAATTTATTCTTTGATATTCCCTTAAAAGCTGTTTGTTTTTGGCTTTAGGCTAGCCGTTAAAAAACAAGAAGGCGGTATTTGTGAAGTTCAAATCATGATTATTTTAAATTTAAATGTGATGAATGCTCTTACCTGTACTTGCTGTTAGAAGCTAAAGCCTAATAGAGATACAGTAAGATGTGTGTAGTTGTTCAGTTTACTGTTGCAGGTATAGATGGCTATGGTAGTGTAGGTGGCCTTCTTATTTCTGCTGCAGTACAGCAATGAAACTGAACATATGTGCCATTTTAAATATGTGAACAATCCCATTGGAATAAGTGGAACTACCAGTCTGCTTCGGGCCAGGCATGTTTTTGTCTTAGTAAATTAAAATTATGTTTAAAGACCATTTGCTTTTATTCACCAAGGGCAATAGCTAATAATAAATATTTAATTTAAAAAGTCTAGCTATTGGTATTAATCTTATGAAATATTATCTTAGAGGAATACAGTGGAATTGGCAGTAATTTTCTTTTGAGATATTCCGTGTTTAAGAGTGTGTTTTTCGTTCAAGACTTGATCCTTCTGCAATCTTTGCACACTCTTTTTGAGCATGGGGCTGTAGGGATTGCAGAACGGAGATGGCCACATTCAGTGATGCAACCAACGGCTTTACAGCGGAGTTCTTGAGCTCTGATAAACAGTAATTTGTTATATAGAGATCTTTGTATGTAACCTGCTGTATTATTTCTAATATAAGATATAGCTTTGGTCTGAAGATTCAGTAACAGTGTATGAATATTTGTTTCTTAGTTCTGTTACCTGGAAGCTGATTGCGCGGTTACTTTCTATACATGAATTTCCAATGCACTTCAGATATGTTGATACAAAGAGACAGTCTCTCGAAAAACCTTCATGGCAGAGTGTGACTGTTTTCAGAGGTTGCATGGAAATGTTGTGTTGTTTTTTTTTCATTTTAAACTGTAAATAAATGTGTAAACTAAGTCCTCTCCTAAAAGCTTGTTTGGTGTGGCTTACTGAAACATGATTTAGCATAGACCACATTTCTGATTTTGCCATCTTTCTATAGTGTGTCAGAAGTTAGGACTAGCTGCTAGTGACCAATTTTTTAGCACTTCCACCTGTGATTTCAATGTCAGCTTGACCAAACCCTTAGCACAGCATTAGCTGTCTGAAACAAGTCCAGGTTTTGCGTGACACAGAAGCCCACACCCATTATGCGTTGGCTCTGAGTGTCTCACCCTTACTTCCTCAAGCTCCACTCCAGGAGTCAGACCCACGGGGCTTATGCTGTGCATTTCAGGCTTGTCTCTTGCCATGCGCTCTCCCAAATAAATTAAAACCTGAGATAACGATTTACTGGAAGGTTTCACAGCTCCCTGAAGCACAAAGCACCTCGCCTGCAGCCTGTTTCTGGAAAAGCCACCCTGCCCTGCCTTTTGGGGACAATATAAAAATCGCTCTCTCATTTTCAGGCTCCTTTCCTGTAACCAGGGCTGCCACACAACCACACCGGACTGCAGGCAAGCAGCTCGTTAATTACTAATTACAGGAACTGCACGACGAGGCTGGCAGGGCAGAAAGGCAGCGGGGCCGGCTGAGCCCAGGAGCAGGCTCGTCCCCGTTCGGCCCCAGCCGCGTGACGTAACGGCAGCGGGCGTGACGTCACACCGAGGGGGCGGTGACGTCGCGGCGGGGCGGTGCCGCGCGGCGGAAGCTCCGGCCGAGCACCTGACACCAAGATGGCGGCGGCGGCGCGGCGGGGCGCGGGGCCGGGGCAGGCGGCGCTGCCGCCGGGTGCTGGCGGAGGAGGGGTGGGGGGGGAGGCGGCTCCCGCCCGGGAGCTGGTGCGGCCGTCGGTGACGGAGCTGTGCCAGGTGCGCACCAACATCCTGTGCACCGTGCCCGGCTGCGCCAAGGTGCTGCCCAACAGCCCCGCGCTCAGCATGCACCTCAGCAAGGCGCACCGCATGCAGGTACCGCCCCGACACGGGGAGAGGGGGTGAGGGGGGGGGAGCGGGGCCGCCAGCGCCTCACGGCCCGGCCTGGCCCGGCGCTGAGGGGAGAAGGGGAAGGGGAGGGGGAGGGAGGCTCCGGGTCCTGCCGCCGCCCCCTCCTTTAAATCCTCTCCTTGTGGAGAAAGCGTGTGAGAGGGGGGTGTGAGAGCGCTGTGGGGGGGATACCGCTCAGAAACCGCTGTGGGATCGGCCCCAGAACCTGAGGGGCTTGGGCGGTCGGGGCTTGGATCACCGTTATCAATACCTTTATCACCTTTATAACCTCCCTGCGGTGAGGCGGGGTCCCGCCTGTCAGCTGCCACACACCGCGGCCCCCACCCTTACCAGTCAGCCTCACAGCCCAAACGCCCAGTGTTACGGTTGGGCTGACTGTATTCGTATTTATTTTTATTGCCTCAATAAGAGCGTTATTTATTTCTTAATGCCTCAGTAACAGCGGCAGCACAATCCCAACGCTGACTGTTATAACTGCCCTGGAAGTGGTGGCGTCCCCAGCCCTGGGGGTGTTCAAGGGAAGGCTGGACGTGGTGCCTGGGGACGTGATTTTGTGGGTGATGTTGGCAGCAGGGGGATGGCTGGTCCAGATGATCGTGGAGGGCTTTTCCAACCATAATGATTCTAAGACTTGTTTTTTTAATGCCTGAATAACAGCAGCACCATAATCCAAACACTGAGTGTTAAAGTTGGGCTGATCTTTATTTAGTTATTTATTTTTCATGTCTGAATAACAGCACCAAAACCCCATGGATGCCATTTGGGAGGAACGCCCTCGTTGCTGTTGTACTGCTGAGAGCGTGTACAGTGTGTCTGGGGGGAGGAGGGCAGGGGCCCCAGCTGAGCCAGCGTGTTTCTGAGTGTGGGCATTTCATAACGATGCCCTTATTTTTCTCCAAATGACAATGCGGGATGTGTGAGGGGGAATGCTGTTCCCGGACAACTTCAAGAGGAGCGTTCCCAGCTGCTTTCTGAAAATGCAGCCACGGCCTGTAAACAACAAACATTTGTTTAGTAAAATGGCAAATTAGCGTCAACAAAGTGTTTGAGCTCATGATGAACAAAAGGGGATAGTCTCAAGGACTCTTGCAATCTCCTCTCTGCAGTTGCTCTATTTCCATATTCACACCAGATTTCCTCGTTAATGTTTGCTGTCAATTTTATTATTTCAGTTTCCACTTGAAAGTGGTGGGGAAAAAACAGACTGAGTAGAAATGTGATATTTGCTGACAACGTTTGTCTTATTTATTCATTGTATCTTGCATGTAAGTACGAGCAGAGGCACAAAGGGAGCAGTCGTTCAGGTTCAGCAGACGTCCTTTAAGTTTTGAGCTCATACTCTAAGCATATGCAGCGGACACCAAGTACAGTTTAGGGAAGACCTGATTGCCAAGAGTAAAAGAATGTAGTAGTTCTTATTTGTCAGTGATACACAAGGTATTAGTGAAAATAGGGCTTAGCAAATGAGCTAGTAAGGAAGTGCTAAGGAAGAAGAGGATGTTGTAGTGCTGAAGGTTGACATGGTTAATTGTCATTAGTAGAGTTAGTACCAATAAGATCTTGCAATAACAAAAATGATGAGGTATTGTGACTGCAGCAGGCGACATTTATGTAAGAAAGCAAGATGACCTTGTGAAAGGTCCTAGTCCTGTGAACTAATAACAGAATTGACCAGTCCTCATTTGTAACAGATGTAACTGAAATGGGAAACACACAAATTACCTGGTCACAGGCATGGGACCCTTTAGGGTAATGCTGCTGTGAGAAGGACAAGCCTGAAATGTTTCAGAAGGACATCCTCTGTCTCTGCTGCCAGGCAGGAATCTGATTCAAATAAGCTAAAACAAACCCCAGAGAGGTGTAGAAAAGAGCAGCTAAGGATGATGAATGGCAAGGGTGGCTGACAAAGGGAAATTAGAAGAATTTGGTTTGTTTGGCCTAACAAAGAAGAAGATATGATGAAGTGTTGATTCCTAACTGCTTGTTTTCTGGCTCCTTAGCTTAAGTAAGCCAGTGAACAAATGAGGACAATGGCTAGAAGCTGGACTTTAATGTATTAGGCTTGAAAAGTTTTTGAATCGTTCTGTCTTTTGTCTATATTATTGTAGGGAGAGAAGGGGAAGACATCTGTGTGCTTTAAAAATGCAGCTAGAGGAATTGATGCAAAGGAGAGTGTTCTGTGGGTTGCAGTGATAGCAAGCAGACTTGCCAGTGGTGGACTGGAGAGGACAGCTTAAGCTTCGGGTCAGTTACCCAAATGCAAATGTTGCACTACCACACTAGGTTTTTATAGTAAGGGTAAATGCCCTTCTCTTTACTGAAGAAATGCATCACTTGTGTACACATAGCTTTTAAACGCTTGGCTTTATTCTCTGTGTTAGTACTTGGGTAGTTTTTAAAAATCTGACACCAGTTTGCCTAAGTGCCTGAACATATTGCTGTGTTATTTACTGAAATGTAACGTTAGATATAACGCACTTCTAAGCAACTCAAATTGCTGCTTGCTGAGCTTGGTGATTTCATCAGCAGCAGGAGAGACCAAATGTAGTTTTGAATTAAAGGTAAACCTTTTATTCCTCCTGTACACTTTGGCTTGCATCTGGTAAAATTGTTTTTGGGTAAATTTGGGGTTAACAAGAGTAATTGCAGTGTGGCTGGAGCAACTAAATTTCTCAGGAATTACTCAGCAGAGATAAAAACCTGCCTGTTTGTGAAAGGCTCATCCATGGGAAAAGCTGCTGCACATACAGAAAATGCTTAAAATATTAAAACATTGCATGAAAACTCCGTTTTTAGAGAGTTCATCTGCTGCTGGGTTTTTGTGCCTGTGTGAACTGGCAGCTGATCATTTTGATCAAGATACTCTAAACTTCCCTTTCTTGTGTACAGTACGTCATTAATCCAAATGAACTCATAGCAATGTTGAGCATGTGGAAGTGTAAGTGACATTTCAGGTATCTTAGATTGAGTTAAAATAGAATCTTAGAAGTGTCCCACTAACTTGTGATATTCCTGAAGTGCAGGTGAAGTAAATGCTTCAATAACAAGCTTCTAGTTGCTCAGCACCCAGAGCTGTTGGGTTATGGCTGTAGCTGGGTAAGAAGAGCAGGTGAAGCAGCGAGCCCGCTGCTCTGGCAGCTGTTGTGAGTACTCCGTGTTTACTTCACCTGATCCTGCTGCTGCGTGGTGTGGATTCCTTGCGGATGGTCTAACCTGTGTAAGCAGGAACAGCTGGAGATCTGCCCAGAGAACATAGTTAGGGAGTCGGTGGTACGAAATCAACATTTCAACACTTCCCGTGTGTGCTCCGATTGTTATCTCACTGAGGAAAAGCAGACACAGAGCTCAATTAGGGCATGCTCCAGTAACTCGCACCTGAATAATGATCGTGGAGATGCATCATGGCCTGCTGGCCTGCTTTAACTGGCTCTGGGGACTTGGTCGGCCTCTACTCAGTCTCACGGTGTAAGGAGACTCAGCTACTCTGAGCATCATTTTTTTGCTAATTGTTTGCTTTTATTTTTTTTTTTTTTGCTAGGACACTTGTTTGATGCTTCCACTGAGACTCTTCCAGTTAGGTTATGTCTAGAGGGATGTGTCTTGTCTGGTTTCCAGGGCTGTGTCCTCAACAGGATTGATTCTTTGTTGAGCAATCTGGATAATCCCATCAGCGTGTCCTTTTTATATGTATTTTTGAGGTCCTTTTTGAGTCAGTTATGTCCTTCTGTTGTATGCATATGATAAAGTCAATGAGGTATATTATATATATTATTGGAATACACGGGTGTATCAGTTGCTTCATATTTGGAGGTTCAGAATTAGCATACCAGTTACAAGTTTCATAGAATAAGTGAATTTTGGTTTATGATCTGAATTAAGTGGCAGTGTGTACTTGCATTCTTCATTTCTTCATTCTTCAGGTCAACTCTAAATAGTGCCAGCAAAATTCTAGTATCAGAAAATTGTTATACAATATATGACTTACTTTAACAGAGCTTCAGGTAGACTGTGCTACACACAAATAAAACCACATTGAATTGGCAGTGTAGTGTAGTACCTGTAGGGAAAGCTTTTTGGCTCATATAGCACAAAAGATGGGTATAACTTGCAACCTCAAGCAAATATCTCGGTAGAAGTAGAACAGTACAGTACCAGCGCTCTGTAGAGCTTGTTGTGATTTCACTTGGTAATTCTGATGTATTTCTTGTAAATTTGCAAGGTAGCATCCACATAGGGGGAAAATTCTATTAGAACTTTCCACTGCATAAACTAATAAAGTTGATGTATGTCCTGGGTGGTGCCTTTAGTATGCAGACCTGTAGAATTGTTGTCAATTTATTCTTTTTCAGGATGGAAAATTTAATGCACCCATAAGGAAAGGGTTGAAAACTCCACAGAAATTCTACTGCTGTCCTATTGAAGGCTGCCCTAGAGGACCAAACAGACCATTTTCCCAATTTTCTCTTGTGAAACAGGTAATTCTTTTTCCTAAAGTATTATTCTTATATTGTTTCGATACTGATCATCTCGTCTCCAAAGAGTGTATGCTTTTGCATTTGGATACGAGCACCCAGCATATATAAGTATATGCAGAAACTCTACATGAGTAGAGTTCTACGTGACTTGTTTCATTGTGTGGGATTAAAAACCCCACTCTTCTCTGGTCACCTGTGGTACCTGGTTCCTAGGAGAATGGGTATCTAGCACTTGGTGCCATAAATAAAAAGTTCTGATGTTTGCTCTGAAGTTGATTTGTTTGACTTGAAACTCTTTGCTCAGTTGTAGATCCTCAGGAGTGTCTCCATGTTGCAACATGTACTTGCCACACTCTTTGGCAAGATTCACCTGTAGTTCATTAATGTCAATAAGAAAATTCCAATGGCATTAGGGCACGTACATTTTTATCTGCATTTTGAAGTGGTGAAAGCTGCTGATAAAGAGCTAATATGATCGGGCACCTCCCAAGAGACCATTCTCATGGCTTAGCTGAAAATAGTATGATTTTTGTGTATACACAGCATACATGCAAATAAAAACTTGTTAATTGTTACATTTCACTAGTCACCTGTACTCCAGCTTGGGCAAGGAAACTTTTCTATTCAATCCCAAGTTTTCTTAACTTGAAGGTAGTGTGTATTGTAAGATGCACGTAGTACAAGATTTGCAAACTTTAATGGTTTCTGTTGAATTCTTTAAGTTTGTAACTCTTCCTAATGAGACTCGAAAGATTCTAATTCTACTCTTCAGTACTATTTAAAAAATAAAGTAAAAATGTAAATATTAATGTTTCCTCTAATTCATCTTTAGCTTACCTGAAGGCTAATGTTTGCTTTTCATTGTATATTGTAGCACTTTATGAAGATGCATGCTGAAAAGAAGCACAAATGTGATAAATGTAGTAACTCCTATGGTACAGAATGGTATTTGAAACGGCACATAGAGGACTGTGGCAAGACTTTCCGGTGTACTTGCGGGTGCCCATATGCCAGCAGGCCAGCATTACTGTCTCATATTTACAGAACTGGCCACGAAATTCCTGCAGAGCACAGGTAAAAGTGAATCAATTAAACTGATGCTATTTGTATTCATCTCTGAGTCCTTGGTGTCCCATATACTGTCTTTTTGTCTTCTTTCTGTTGATTACTTTTGAGATTGGCTCACATTGTTTTAACTATCCAGCAGTTTCTTCGTTTTGTTGCTTTTAGCAGTTTGTTTTGTTTCAGGCAGTGATGAATGTCTAATCAATAAGATCAATTTTCAGTTTTCATTGTATATAAAACAGTGAGTTACTGCTAACACTTGTTGGAAGTGCTTTTACAGTTCCGTGAAAGTAGAGATGATTTGGAAATGTTTACAGCTGGTAACTGGTGTGCAATGCAGTTGAGTTTTTCCTGTATAGTCTAGTCACCCTTGCGAGTTTTAGTGGATTCTTCTCTTTAAAAAAAAAAAAAAAAAAAAAAGCCTATATATACGTATTTTGATTTATAGTTGTCTTAAAGTGTGTATGTATATTTCATAAAGGACGGTCTGTTTCCTGAGGCCTAGCCTGTATTCCTTGGAGATTGAACGGCTGCAAAATTTTGTGTGAGGGAGATGCTAATTGTATCCTGTTTCCATGAGAGACCTTTACCTGTGTGCTAATTTTATAAACTCTGTTTCATCAATACTCAGTCTGAGTTCACATCAAAATAACAGAGTAAACATCTTCAAATCAGAGTGCTTAACATACAAAGGGGAAAATGGTTTCTCAACCTCCTTTTAGAACATAGGTCTTCATAAAAAATGTATATATATATTTTTTTCATAAATGGGAGAGTAAGGAATGAAATTTTACAACACTAAGGTGCATGGAGACTTTTTGGTATGTTAATCAGGATTGGTTGTCCTGTCATCTCCAGCCTCCTCTGGGACCTGAGTTTGTTTTCAATGTCTTGACTCAAAACATGGAAGGCAGATGTTTTATGCTTGAAGAGAATATAAATTATTGATCTCGTATTCACAGGGATCCTCCTAGTAAGAAAAGGAAAATGGAAACCTCCGTACATAATCAGCAGTTGGCAGAGAAAGCAAATAAAGCACTCATCGATACACATAATAGTAATCCTGGCACTCAGGAATTGGAGTCATCTGAAGTGAAACTAGTGGCCTCTTTTGAAGGTTCCTGCAATTCTAACCTCACGAAGCAAGTACAGCCAAAATGTACACCGAAGATGCTTTTGCCAAAGCCCAAGGTGGCTTTGGTTAAACTTCCAGTGATGCAGCTCGCTCACTTGCCTGTGTATGTGTCTGCAACAGATTCTTCTGTCAAACCTGTTGTAGTGGCTGTTGATAATCAAGGTTCAGTTTTAAGTACCGTTCACTTATTGCCTCAGTCTGTAGGAATTCTGATTCCAGCACTGGAGGCAGAAACTCTTGTATTTAAAGACACTATGCCTGTCTCAAAAGTAACAAATTCTGGTGATAAGGAACCAGTAAGCACTGGTGTGCAAGTTGACTTGGACAAGGTTGCACCAAATAGCCCAGGTCAAGAACCGGGGAATGTTTGTCATAAGAGTAACATTTCTTCAATAAATGTACAGACTGACTTATCTTATATTTCACAGAACTTTGTGCCGGCTGCAGCCTGGACTCCCGATTCTTCTGTGTCTTCTTGCTCTCAGACAGATCTGTCATTTAGTTCACAGGTTTCACTACCCATCAGTGTACAAACACAGACGCTGCTGCCTGCTTCCAAACTGACTTCATCCATAGCTGCTCAGACTGATGATTTCAGTCAGGTTTGTTTCCCTACATGTGGCATTTCTAGAGAGACACAAACCAGTAGAACACAGGACTCCATTGATGGAAGAGTGCAAATGGACCAGGCTGTCATGTGCAGTGACATCTTTGACAACGTTCATTCATCATACAATGTTTCTACTCAGATTGAGCTTCCAGAAAACAATTTAATGACTGCAAATATTGATCAAGCCTTGCTGCAGAGGAGTAATTGCAAGAGCCTCAATCAAGATACAGTCAAGTCTGAATCCCTTATCGGCTTTAATACCCAGACTAATATACTTCCACCTCAAAATACGATGGATAATCAAACGCAGACAATGGACTTGCTAAGTGATCTGGAAAATATCTTTTCAGGAAACATGTCTGGCCAGACCCTGGATAATCGTGGCCTTTTGTCCGAGACTAGCTCTAATGCTGACACACATCTGCCATCTGGTCCATCACAGAGCACAGGAATAGACTTTGACATTGAGGAGTTCTTTTCAGCATCCAATATCCAAACTCAGACTGAAGAGAGCGAGCTTGGTACCCTAAACTCTGAGCCAGTTTTGGAGTCGCTGGACATTGAAACTCAGACCGATTTCTTATTTTCAGATAGTGCCACTCAATCGTATAGCTGCAGAGGGAATTCTAACTTCTTAGGTTTGGAGATGTTTGACACACAGACACAGACAGACTTGAATTTCTTCTTGGACAGTAATACCCACCTGCCTTTAGGAAGCATTCTGAAGCAGTCTAGTTTCTCCATGAGTACTGACTCATCGGATACAGAAACCCAGACAGAAGTATATCCTGCCACTAAAAACATACCTAATCAGAGCATAGAAAGCAAAGTCCAGCTCAGTAGTGCTGAAACACAGACTATGGACAGCTGCTTTGAGAATCTGGGGAATTTATTCCTTACCAGCAACGAGACACAGACAGCAATGGATGACTTTCTTCTGGCTGACTTAGCCTGGAATACAATGGAGTCCCAGTTCAGTTCGGTAGAAACACAGACCTGTGAAGAGCTGTGCTCCTTGTTTCAGAGCTCTGACAAGCCCAGCCATTGAGTACTGTTTCACAAAACTGTTTTGTGTGGTTTGAAATTAAATTATTGGGGTGGGAGAGAGAGAGATTGACCAAGTCACCCATTTTGCATTGTTGAATGTAGTTACTGCGTGCAGTTGGCCTAAGAGACTTCTCATGCTGAAGGTACTTCATTGAGTATGTAACTTCAACATACACCATGTGTGCGTAAAGGCGGGCTGGGGGAGGGCATAACATTAATGTATGGTTGAACCTTAAACAGAAGTTTGTGGTGCCTATGTTTTTTGCTCAGACTTCTTTACAAAGCTGATACTGCTTCACTTAAATGGAAGAACTTTCCAAGGTGTCCCATATATATCTATTTCTGGCTTATATATAGGGTTCCGTTGTGCTGGACCAAAACCTGACCTGTCCAATTCTGATGCTTCCCTGAACTTACGGGGGAGGATTCTCTTAGTGTAAGCTACTTCTGTTTACTTTTTTTTTTTTTTTTAGTAGCTTGTATTTTAAATCTGGCATGGACATAATAAGCTGTATTGTTGTCTTTTACTTTATGCCTTCACAGTTCTCTCTCCTGTATAAGTCAGTATTTTCCAAACACCTGTCCAACAGGCTTAGATACACTTAGACTCTTGAATTATTGAACATTGAGGGTTTTTTTAAAAGAAAAAATGTAGAAAGCAGTAGGTTTTTTCCCCCAGGTGGCACTGATGCCCTTTGAATGGTAGGAAAATAACTTAGAATACATAATTACAGAGAAAAATATGTTGTCTTTTTAGCTAGTGTAATAAATGGGACTTAAAACATTTTTAGAGTCTTCAGGAGAGATCTGCTTAAATTATTGCTGAGTGTTAGATGCAAATGTTATAATGCTTGTGCCTCAAAAACTGGAATAATTTGTTTTTGCTGAAGTTCCCCTAGCCTCTACCAGATACAAGCTGGGAAATGTTATAAGGGTTTATATTTCCATTACCTTAACAGAAACCTTTAAAGGTGAGAAATTAAATTCTCTAAGATACTCCTGCACCTACTCTCCTGGTTTTGGACTTTGAACTTCTGCTTCCAGAAGCAAAGCAGCCTGAGCTCTGTACAACAGAGCTGCCAGATCAGCTCACCAAAGCCCTTTGGAAGAGGAGGTGTATTTTCCTTTTGCACATTGATCTCCAGCTGGTGGTGCCTGCTGCTTTTGGAGAGTTTGCTGAGTGTAATCAAAAACTCAGACTGATTTTTCAAAGAGAAACATGTCACCCCTCAATTTTATGTTTATTTTACCCCGGTACCATACTTGCAGTAGATGCATTTACATGAAAAATGTAAGCCAGTTGTGAATGTATGCTGGAATTTGGCCTTAATTGATTTTTGTCTCCTTACAATACCTGCAAAATGTAGGCCTCTGGTTTTGTCCTGGGCAGGTTTTAGTTTCTGTTACCTTAAATGAAAAGCAAAACATCTTCGTGTCAAATTCCTGGGCCTGTAATAGATTTTGCTCCTCTATTATAAGAGGAGAGCTATTGGCTGTGTATTTACTAGGCAGCCCACCAGTAGATGTTTGTCCAAGCCTTAGTTTTTGAAGGCTCACTACACTTTGTGCAGCTCCGTATCCTCAGCTGAAGGATGTGGGAGTTCAGTTACTCATCCAATGCAGCTAGCTTGTTTTGTTGAAAATGAGCAAACCTTTCCATTTTATTCTCTCTTCCCACTACTCTTTAAATTGCCGTGGTTAAGTCAACACGCTACTAAGTATCTCAATTGATGCTGGAGATCATCTCTTCAACCCTGAAACTTTCATTTTCCTCCTGAGGAGAGGGGAGGGAAAAAAAAAAAAAAGCCTGAAACCACGAATGCGTTGCCTTTTTAGTTTTTCAGCACTTCTAGGTGGGTGTTCAGACACTTTCAGGAGCTGGCTGAAGAAACTGCATAAATAAATCTTGTATTCTCCATCGGGAGTACAGCAATTTTGCTTTACTTTTTTAGGAAAGTCCCACCAGTTCTCACAAGGTCTAGAGTTCTAATCTTGAGGGTGAGATATACTGGAAAAGGAAGACATAATTTGTAATTCTTTATTTTGTAAGGTGTGACCGATTTTTGTTTGCCTACCTACTTTGAGAAATAAGGTGAATGACAAAATTGAGTTAATTTATTGCATTGCAGTGTTTATCTACTCGTGTTACGTCCTTGGGCTTTAAAAGTGTTTTTCCTTCTCCTTTCTTCCCCCAGCTGGAATACCAGAGAACGCTTCTGCTTGCAGAGGCTTCCCCATTGTCAGTGTGCGAGTTGTCTAGAGAGACACAAGCTGCTATGAATCTGATTCCTAGATTACTGAGATAAAGGGAATTGAGAGTTGGGGAAAACTATTTCTCACAGCTGTAGAAGGCAGAAGTGAGAAACTGTTACCTCTGAATATAGAAAGCTGGTCTGTTTCTGCAAGAGAAGAACTCTCAAGTGGTGAGGAACAGAATTACAGAAGGCTTTGAGTTTCAACCTTCTGAGAGACCAGCTGGCATTTCAAGGACTTCTAAGCTAATTTACAAATCCAAATGAGAATCATCATGTTGTTAAGGTGTAAGCCAACCCTTAACAACAGTGACTCTCAGGAGAAAAAAAAAAAAGGAAGGTTTGTGTGGACAGTCTTACAATACAGCTGTTACTCATTTATTGTGTTTTGTAATTAAAAGTATTTATAAGTGTGTTCTGTTAGAACATGCAAATACCATTTCCTTTCCTCATCAGTTTAAAAGTTTGAACTTTAATTAGATGAGCACAGTACTACAACATGAAGTTACTTACTGAAAGTATTAAAAAATCATTAAATGTACTCGCATTGTCTTTCGTCGGTGAGCTGCTTCCCTAAATTAATGTATTTTTTTCAGAAATTTGGTTCCCCATAAAAGAAACAAGTTTGGATCCTATGTTAGTGGCATACGTCCCTTATTTTGGATACATTAAGTATTTTTGTGCAAATGCAAAGACTACAACAGACTGTTCAGAGTTCCTGAATTCCTCAGGAAACCTATTGAAACCTGATCTGAAAAAAATCATGATCAATACTACTTACTCTTAAAAATTAAACAGATTCGTTTAAATGGTTAATTTTCTGTTTTGGCCATTGTTCTCAAAATAAATTTCAATCAGAACTATTTCTTGGTAGTACTGAAATGATACTTATCTCCCTTTTTCTGCAGTTTGTCTCTGATTTGATTTTCGAGGCACTGTTTCTGTTGTAAGTATTGATCAGTAGCAACTTTCTATTTTGCTAATTCTCTCTTGTATCCTCTACTGCCATTTGAACCGCTATGCAGAAAGTAACATCAGACTCTCCACAGCCTCTGAGCACAAATTTTTATCTGGAAGTGATACTAATATTACTTGTGCTTACTCTTTGCATTTCCTGCTTAATTAAGTTATGCTGCAATTACTGGATCTCGATCTGGATGTCTGTGTAATACTACTCTAAAACTGAATTAGTCACTAGTTTGGTAGTTTGGCTTGAGCTTTTCTTTATTTTTTAAGGAGGAAGTTAGCCTGAGATTTACTGTTGTGTATCAACTGCTGCTTCTGCAAGTTCAGTCTTCTGTCTCTGGGAAGGATAGTCAGAGCTTCAGAAAACAAGTGCAAATGCCCATAGAGCCTGACAAATTACTAGTGGTAACACTATTTTCAAAGACTTCACAGGACTTCTAGATCATCAGTCTATCAGAAAAAAACTTTAATCTTGCATTCAGTTTACTGTAATTTCAGCCTCACTGATTCTTAACAGAACATCGTAGTCTTGGTCAGAAAAGGTGTATTTGCTAGCTGCGCTGTCTAATGGATCCAACTTGTTCCAAGCAATTTCAAAATAAACGTATCAGTGTCTTGCACTTCTTCAGATAGCTGGAGATATTCGTAAGTCATGGATATGTTTTAGCAGAACATAGTTTTGTGCTGTTTAATAGAATTGGGTATACATGTAGGCAAAACTGAGTGGTTCTGCTTGAAATTTTTGGCTTCTGAGAGAACACTGACTTATAAAAGTTAAATACATCCCACTTTCAAGGCATATAAAAAATCAGACAGAAATGAAACATAAGCAAATTTGGGACGTGCATTCTATGCGAAGCACAAAGCAGCCAAAACTTAAGTCTTGTCTTGTTGCCTTCCATGTTTGTTTGTGTGTTGTGTTTTTTTGTGTTTTTTGTTTTTTTTTTTTTGTCATTTGATGCTAAAAGCTTGTATGAGAGTAGATAAGCTGCTTCTGCTTTAGGAGTTAGAGTTATGTCTATTTCCCCTAACACACCTGTAAATACTTGCTTCTGCTCTGAGTAGGGAGCGAATCTTACCCCTAGCTCTTCATGTCAGCTTAAAAGACATCGCTAGTTTAAAGTCAGAGTTTATTAATGACACATCTTCTTAGCTATACAAAGCTGTTTGTGTCTAGAAACTTCTCACTTCCAAATGATATGAAATCATGAAATAATAGTAATACATGCAGCTATTTAACTTAAAGCTGTAAAGACAGCCTTCGGAGATGTTGTCTTGTTAACCATTTCAGCACCTGTAACACGTAATTAACACTCCTTTCAAAATTTTATTCCAGGGCACGCTCTCAGTCATGTTTTCTGTTGAAAACAAAAGGTTAAATTTCCCTGTTAGCCATACGTACCCTGAGAGCGTGGAGGCAACAGAACAAAGAAAGGTGACGGCCTTCCACTGTTTGAAATCTTTATCCTGGTAACACTCACATGGTTGGTCAGATGTAAATTGATCTTTCTGTGTGGCTTGGAAAAGAGATGTATGCATTGATCTGAGAGATCTTGAGGGTTTCTTGTTTGTTTTTAAATAACTTTTTCAAATATGGCATAAGTAAAACCAATAAAATACCCAGTGAATCAACATAAGGTGCTCAACTTGCAAAATAGTAACTGTTACTGAAATGACAGTTCATAGGTGAACCAAACTTACTTGCCTTTATCATGAAGGTTGTATAGATAGCTTCCTCTAAGTTATTTTTGAAATGTTTTGTGTTTTTTTTTTTAAACATGACCTTAATGTACAAATTACTCTTCCAAATACATTCACACCAAAATGTTTTTAATGCTGTGGGCCTTGCAAGCATTTTCATTCATGTTTGTTTTAAGGTGCTGCTATACTTGAGTTCCTAATAGAAGAGATCTACTGTAAACAGACCTCCGTTGATGATTTCATATGAACACTATGAGGATAGGGTTGCTCGGTGGTAGCAAGCTGCTTCAATGCATGGTGCAGATGTGCATCTTCTGTTCCTTTTGTTACTGTCTTTTTTGTTTGTTTTCATGGTTGATGTGAATCAAAATGAGTGCTAGAAGGATTTGCTGCTTAGAGCATGATTGCATTTTCTTGTTTCAATTGCCATTGCTATGCAATGAACAGCATCGAGGAACTACGTCGTTCAACTCTGCATTGCCTCGCAGTCAGGGTGATGTTATGTTTGTCTCGTGTGCGACTCTTCCGCTTCACCGAAAATGTAATCCGACAGCCTGAAACAGTGGAAATTCCCAAAGGAGCTGCTGATCTCTAGTCAAACAACAAAAATCCTTTCCATCTGATTCTTTTTCATATGCTGGCTTTTCAGGAGTATCTTCAACATAACTAGCGATGGAATATAATAGATGGCTTGTGATGATGTAAACCGTGCAGCATCCATTTTACAACAAGTAATGCTTTACATGCATGCTTCAAGCACTCGCATGCAGAGCTAGACTGATAATATTCTATTTTACAGATATTTGCAAGTGCATCTATGATAAAAATAAAGCTAGATATGAAAAATAGCCTTTATTTGCAGCTTACAGAATTCAAGATTTGATTATGATCTAATTTAAACTTGTAACTGTTTGGAATGGATGAGTAATAAGTCTCACGGGTGAGCCTTTCCCAAAGCATGTGTGAGTTAATACGTCTGGAAAATGACCTTAAAATGTTTTTTCTCATCACTGGTGGGATTTTGATCTAGTGGACAAATTTAGTTTTCAAGGGATGTTGATGTATGATTCTTGCTATGTAAGCCAACAAACTTGCAACAAGCAGAGAAAAGCAAGTTTTCATTTCCTATACCTGTTTTACAAGTGACAATCCCAAAGAAGGAATGTTGTCCTATGTGAAACATTTAAGTATATTAATGCATGCAGAGAAAATCCTGTGCCAAAATACTGTTTCATATTTCCTGATGTTGGAAACTGAAGTGTTACACAAAGCTACTAGTAAGTTATTCACAAGTATTGAAACATTTTGTTCACAAATGAAGCACTTATTTAGTCCTGTAAATTATACATATTTTGGAATAAAGTTAACTTCAACCAATTATTGCCTTCTGTTGTAATGGCTGTGATCTCCTCTAGAGGCCTGGGCCGGGCATACAGTGCCTGTTAGGAAGCACCACCCGTTCCTCCTGAACATCTTACCTCTTGAAAGCTGGGTATCTTTTGGATTTGTAGAGGTTTTGTAACTTACAGTAATCTTACAGCATCAGTCCTTTATCTTCAGAGGCTGCAAAAAACTTGAGTTTTGCTATGTTCTCCTACTTTCCAGTGAATCCTAGGAAGTTTAAACTTAAAACACTGAAGTAATCAGAATAACAAGGTGCTACATTTTATGAACACCCATTAGAGAGGTTCTCTCCTTTTAACTGAGCCTGTGCATAGACTTTTGTGCTGTCTTGGATGCCTGTAGCTGGGGCTGGGTTCTTCCAACCAGCAGCATCCAGGCTGGCAGCAGTAGTGGTGCTCCACCTCAAACTTCTTAGAAATGAATGCAAAATTTAAATTATCTTGCATACGCCATGGAATTCAGCTCACTGATGTGCCTTTCTTCTACAACAGGCCATCAGGACAGAAGGATTACTTTGAGTTCTTCTTTGCACTCTCATCTACTTGTGTAATTTACAAAATCTGGAGTCCTAAGCAGAAATTAACTGCTTTGTGATTAATAGCTTTCAAAGTACCCTGCTAGAAAATCACAGTCTTTTCTAATAGCTCATATTATTTTGAAAGATATTGTATGTAATTGTGAAAATAATTTTTAATTGAGAAAATAATTTTAATGATATTTTAATACTATTATACTAGGTTGAATTGGCGCATGGATGATACTTGTCCCCGTCTGTATAGTCCCCATGCTTAATAATAATGGTCCTACCATCCTCTGTTGGAGAATATAAAATGCTTTTATTATTACTTTTGTATCTTGTCAACTTCCATATCAATTCAGAATAGGTGAACAAGCAGACGATCTGTCACTGAAAATTCATCTGTGCTATTACAGCAGCTATAGTCACGACAAACTCTGTCTTTGGTGTGTACCAGGCTGCTGGTTTCGGTGCCGTCACATGCTAAGTGCATGAGGCAGCATTCAGCCACAGTGGTAGCAAAATATAGAAGGTATTTCCAGGGGGCAGTATGTGGGAAGTATCTAGAAAGTAAATTCCCATTCAGAGCATTTAAAGTTAGCTCTGAAAGAGTCAAATGTATTAGGAACTGACTACTGTTGCAGGAATAGCAGGCTATTCCTGTTGTAGCAATATTCTGCTTAGTTTGGGTTGAGTTATTTCAGGCTTGTTATTCAGATGGAGCAGACTTCACCTGTGGACAAAAGTCAGCTACTTTGAACAGATTGTCCTCATGAAACTTGCAAAGATGGCAAGGCAGCCTAAAAGGCAGGACAAATTGACTCTTGATTAAGAACAGATCAAGAAGAAGCCGATGGCTGTTCAGAGATCAGCCCCACATGTTTTTGAACTACTTTCTTGCTTGGTGTTGCTGAGACTTTACTGTTATTTCTGTTGGCAGTGAAAGCATCCCTGATCAGTTTGTGTTTAGATTCTGAATTTCCTTCACTTAACGAAATTGCTTGTTGGCAAGCTGATTGATTGCATTCTGTCAAAACAATTGAATTTAAGAGAGGCAGACTTTCTTTCTGGCTCCAGGATTTGACAAAGTGTTCTCTGGAATCAGTCCCCTGGAAGTCTGGACCTAAAACAAAAAGACAGAAGCATTGATTTAGCTTTCAGGTGTTCTCTCATTGTATTTTTACACTGCTGTTACCAATTCCCTTTTGCGTGTTTTGTTTTGGCACTTTGAATGCAGGAAACACTCCCAGTTGATCTAGCACTTAAGTTTATTTCCTTTCCCTGAGCGGGAATGGTTTTATTCTTGAGAGAGTCTGCATGTAAACAAGAAGCTGCTGTTTCCTGGGGTAGAACCCAGTGTCTTCAAGGTCACATAACTTCATCACGTTTATCATGACTTAAGTGTTGTGAATTTGTATCTTTCTGTTCCAATCCTTTACTTAGCAGCTTTGCTGGGTGACTTTTGCTACACCCCTTTCTTGGCAAATCCTTCTGTTTGTCCTGAGAAGTGTGAGCAGCACAAAATTGGCCAGTATCCCTTTCTTCTTTAAAGCCATTTGTTAAGGGAGCACAATGGAAAGGTTTGCTACGGTAGGCTAGAAATGTTCCCCTCCTGGAAATACCATTTCTTGCAGGAGATTTGCTGGCAATTAAATAGCAATTAATTTTTAATTGAATCTCCTGTAATCTTGGTTGATTGGGCCAAGTCTCCATGAGCTACTACAACCATATTCGTAAGTAACAATTTTGCTTACTGATATTTGGGGGAATGGGGGCTTGTTTTGTACCTGATGGCAATGAAAGTAGTATCTCTGCTCAAGCCTTTTACCTGTGAAACAAAGTACAGAAGTTCTGTATTAGTTACTAGTAGAAATAGAATTTTTAGCTTCAACTTTGAACTTTTTTTCTATAAAGAATGGGTTAGCTGTCTGCAGTGGCTGCATCTTGTAAGCACGGTAATGAACGCTTGGCTTTACTCACTGTTAACTGATAACACAGTTCATTTTTCCGAAGCAGCAATATTTTCTGTTCTCTGAGTGGGAGAGACTCTTTCCTTCCTCACTGTTATTAATGTTATTCATTTCACAGTTGCATGTACATTTGAGTTTTCTATGTAGTGAAAAACAGAGGACTTGAAACAAATATAAATGGACTCAGTTACTTATCTTGGGACTGTTTGTGAAGGATCATTCCACTATATAACTTATATTTTATATTTAAATATGAAGCACAGGACTGGAACAGACACTGCCAAAAGAGAAGTGAGAGGGAAGGGGACAAAGAAGTGAAGAATGTGGTTTGTTAGAGTATGTCTCTGTTCTGTCAGAACGAGTAATTGTAGCACTATGATTGAATAGCAGGTAAGACAAAAGTTACTACTACTACTACAAAAAAATACATGTTTCCTGGAAATTAATGACTAAGAGCTTGACTGCAAAAAATCATTGGTAGATTTTCAGTTATTCAGAGTTTTGAAAGAGATGAAAGATGCATATAGATCTTAGTAGCAGCTATAAGGATAATTCTGCATCAAAATATGAATGGAAATTAATATTCCCACTTACTCTATTTCCCTATTTTAAAATCACTGGCTGCTCTGTTTCTTTAATATCACAAAAGCATCACATTGAAACAAAACCTTACTGATACATTCCTCCCTAAGGTATGTATAAATTGACTTTGCAACATAAAAGCAACATAATGTTTGATATAGGCACTTTTTGAAATCCACGTAATTTATTAAGCAGAGGTAATAAAACACATTGATACTTACTGTCCTGTATGAATGTATGTAGAGTGAATTTCTCCTGCTGTTTCATTTTCCATATCTTAAGCTGATGTATTGTGCGTGCTTATCAAAGATCTATTACATGACTGCTATAAATGTAACTATGCTAAAACTTTTGAAGGAAATACTGTACTGGGGAGATAGTAAATTTTTGTAGCTATTTGTTGGGCAAAACCAGTTGAAATAGGTTACTGACAAGAACACTGAGAAACTGTGTACCACTGCATTGTCAGGATTTGAACAGAGTGATGTCTTGTTCCCTTTATGAACAATTATCATATGTTTGTCCAAAGCAACACCTTGAGAATTTTTAGAATGCTTAGCTTTTCTTCTTCAAGAGCGAAGGAATGCAGAAGACAGTAAGCTTGAAAGCAACTGTGTGCTATTTCTGGTAGAAGTGCTTATTTTCTTAGACATTCAGTAGGTGGCACTCCCCTCTCCAATACAGAGGTGCTGTAGCTTGAAAAATCGAGTTTATTGCCCCCCAAATGGTGGCCCTGTTCTAACAAGGGCTCTGCACCTTAAGCTGATATGCTGCTGTACATACTTAAAGAATTGTTACACACCTGCTGTACAAATTACAGTTCTAAAAGGTTTCTAGATTTCCCTAAGCAATTCCCAGAAGAATAATATTAGGAGACAAAGCGATCAGCTTGGAACTGTTACTTAACACTAGCACTCAACTCCTGTGTTCTCTGGAGGTCATGTCACTTCAGTACTGTGGGAAGAGAGAAAACCACATCGTCCTTCCCTTTTTTAAAGGAATAAACACAATAGTTTATTTAGGTACACAGAATATTTGTCACCTTTTTTTCTTTTCTTCCTCTGAAACTACGCATCTGGAAGGTGATTATTCTCTTAGCTGTGATGTTCAGATACCTGAACACAATTAACAAGCTGAGGCTAGAAAACTTCTAAAAACTTAACATTTTGTGCACATGCTGAATAAATAAAGATATAAATCTAAAAGATACGGAATTCCTCAGTCTAAAGCTGTTTTATACTATATCTTATTGGGAGCCTTGCACTGACATTATCTTTCCCCATTCAAAATCTCCATCAAAGCGTCAGAAGAGGGGAAGGGTAAGTTGCAGTGAATCTGTCCTGAATGCAAAGGAGCATGCTCTTTGTGAAGAAGCTGCTACAATTGAAGTGCAGTTACTGATGTCTCTATGGAAGGACTGCTGTTTTTTAATTTGCTTTTTGTTTAACACAAAACCAAAACAGAACTTGATCTGGAAGCCCTATTTGGTATGATGAGGTAAAACAAGAATACACATCTATTAAACAGAAACAAGCGAAGAAAACATTAACAGGATTAAAAAACAAATCTACTTTAAACAAGAACAAACCTTGTAAACGACTGTCAATCTCACCACTGTCTGCTTTCCAGATCATTTCTGTTTCTCCTAGGTGCCAAATTAGCAAGGAATGTATGCAAATGTTTGTCTGTGAAGCTCAGTAGGATTTAGCACTGTTTTAAGGGTATTATTAAAGGCCTTGCAGAGCAGAATGTTCTTAAAGTTAGATGTTGTTTCAGTGATCAGCAGTATCAAATACCTAATTGTCACAGTAGGCTACAGAACTCATTCAGAGTGAATCTAAATGAAGAGGGTGCATGTACTTCATGCCCAGAATAAGCTGTTAAGACTAATGGATCTATCTTGTGGTCAGGAAGAAACTAAACCTATGTGAAAGTAATTGGCATTCATCAGCTTATGCTATTAATAGCATTTTAAAAAACCTACAAATATCCCAGTGGCTCACAAGGAAATTTTATTTTTTCCCCATAAGTTACAAGGAAAAAAAAGGCAAGAGATTGCAACCTAGAAGCGTTAGTTCAGTCTAGGCAGCAGTTCAGCTCTTGCAGTGTGACTGGCCTTTAGGGAAGGTAATAGTCCAGAGACCAGGGGAACCGCCTGCATTTCTGATTTGTTTCCTTCCTTGACCTCAGCATACCTGTTCCTGGCATTGTAGGTTAAAGAGCCTCGGATGTCATGTTTTGTGTATTGTATTCCTTTTGTGTGTGGAACCTGCATACAGGCCTGATGAATGTTCTTTTTGGAAGCAGTAGGATTAGGAATGGTTGCAATGCTTCTGTCAGATGTAAGAGCACAGTGCCAGGATAACTGTTCAGGATCTTCCTGCAGGAGGGAGACCTCTGAATGACTTGAGAAAAATGCTGATGGTTCATGAATTTCTCCTTTTTCCTTCATTTTATCATTCATGGTGTCAGCTCCTTTTTTACTCTTTTGCTCTGTTCCTTTAGCGTCATGACTGCAGGAAGCAATCTCAACTGAAGTACCATTGAGTGTGTTCTGAAGGATAATGGCTTGCTTGTTCTTCCAGGAAGGGTCTGAAGTGTCCTTGGGAGTGGCATATTTCACGGGTGGAAGTACTTGTGAAGATTTTGAAGTCAAAGATTCACAGCCATTTGGATCAAGCACATCAAGTGCCTGGGGTTTTATCGCTTTATGCTTTACAGCATCTGGATTTTTCACGTCTTCTAGGTTCCACATACAGTATTCTTTTATTGGCAGGTTCTTCTTTTCACCCTGGCATGTTCTGAAAGAGTGTACCTTTTTGTTACATATTTCTGTTTTACTGCCATGTGTTGTAGAACAGTTAGACTTACTAGAATGGGCTGAAATCTCTTCTGGAGCAGTATCAGCTGCAGCCTCTGTGTTTAACTTGCTTTCTGCTTTTGATTGATTTCTTGTAGTCTTGACTTCTTGGCCTGAACATTTGTCAGTAGCTTGCACCATGTCTAAGCAAAGCAGGCAATTGTTGGAGGTTTCACTTGCCTTTGATTTCTTGATTTGTTTTTGCAGCTGAAAGCAAGCAAGTGGATTGGTGGAACCCCAGCCTTGCACCTGGTAATAGAGAAACACATTAAATTTAAGACAAGCTAAAGCGTTGTAAGGAAAATGTTGGAGGAATAGTCTTGGCTGATGTAAATGAACACAATAATGCTATTTCTGAGTACAAAACAAGGAGGTCCTGGTATGTTGTGTCATGTACTCCTGAACTGAAAGAAGGAACTGAGAGTTACCATAATGCCTCTGCACAGACTTTAAGTTTCTCCATCAGGGAGAAGAGATGAGTGTGACCTCTGACGCGTTTCTGTGTCACAGGCCAACACTGGTCACTCCCTCAGCACCTCACAGAAGCGCACGCCTTTTTTTCTTCACTCTGCGTGTAAAAACGAGCATTAAAAGCCCCAAACTCCTCTAAAATAACATCAAAGATTCCCTCTGCCGTAAAACTCACGGCCTCCTCCCAGCCGCAGCCCGGGGCCCGGCTCTCCGGGGCGGCGCCGCGGTCGCTGAGGCGCAGCAGGGCCCGCGCCGCCCGCCGCCCCCCGCCGCCACAGCCGCCCGCCGCGCCCCGCATCCCGGGCCCGCCACCGCCGCCTCAGGGGCCGTCGCCACGGCAACGCCCCGGGCGGGAAAATGGCGCCGGGGCGCTGAGGGAAGGGCCCCGGGGGGAGCTGTCTGTGAGGAAACCAGGAGGGGACGGCGGCTGTGCCGAGCTCCTGGCCTCCCTGCTTCTCCCGTGGGTGCTGGGGGTGTGTGGATGGGGCATACACGCCTGGAGGTGGCTGTGGGTGGTCGTACCTGAAGCTGAGGGGGTTGGTGATGCCAAGTGGGAATGGGCTCTGAAGCCCTTCAGGGGGCTTGGACGGGCAGCCGAGAACTGCAAATGTGAGAAACGACAGAACCGGGCAGCTTGAAAGGGGGAAAAACCAAAGCAAAGTGCTGGATGCATGCCGAGGAAGGAGAGAGTCTATATAAAGCCTGAAAAACGTGAATAGGGAAGAGTTGTGTGCAGGAGGAAAATGGATGTGAAAGGGCCAAATAGAGGAAATGAAAGAAAAAGTGATGAAGAAACAAATAGAAAAGGAGGAGACAGACTGATCTTACAATACAATGAATCTAAATAATCTATTACTATTAATCACTTTACAATGAATCACTGCCTGACCAACAGACCTTTAAATTTGAAAAATGTGAAAATTAAAATCAAGGATGTGAGGTGCATGTTTTAATTCCTAAAATCATTAGCAAGCACTACTGAGACTATTTACAGTTGCTAGAGACAGTCCTGTGTTTGTTTTATAGCACGGCATTAAGACTCAGTTGCCAACACTCTTAGCAGAAAATGGGATTTGGGGATGTCCCGAAGTGCATTTGTTCAGGTATTTTCATGAAAATCTACATTAAAAGTTTTAGGACCAAAAGAGTCCCAGCACTGTTGTTACTTATCCTTGTTGAAATCAAGCAATCTGTTTAAAAATAGCACAACTATTCATATGAGAAAAAATACTTTAAGTAGAATGCTCTTTATCATCTTCTCTGAAAAATGACAGATCCTTTTTTTTTTTTTCTTTGCTTTTTTCCACTGCAGTCTTAATTTGGGGCTCTTTATAGCTTACGCACTTTCCTGAAGTCTTAAGCCAATCACTTAAGTCAACAGAGGTGGTTAATGCTTAACTAATAAAATTGTGTGTGAGCTTCAAGATGTACAGAAGGCAGATTCACAAGGTCATGAACTGAGGTAAACTCTTAGTATTCTATTGTTATTACTATAGGTTTCTTTGGATCTTGATATTTAAAGTAGAAAGGAAAAAAAGCAACCCACAAACCAGCCACAAAGTTACCCTTCAAAGTGTCAGAGCTCTGTTGGTCAGAACATGCAGTCCTTTGGAAAACATTCACCGATCTCCCAGACCAAACATCCTGGATACAACTCCATGAATCACACAGCTTGCATCCTCATAGTTAAAGACTGCACATCCTGATTAAGAGAAGGTAATATTTGCTATTAAAGATCAATATCATTGTTCTTTAACAGGATACTTAAGTTTTTTTGTGCCTTACTCAGGTTTATTACCCAGTTCTGATCTGGCATTTCTCTGAGATTTGACTAAGATATTTTTCTCAGGGAAAATTAGAGGTCTGAGTTACTCACTAACATTAAATGGTGTAGGGGGATCTTTTTTTTTAAATATATGCATGCAGAACAAATGGAGCATTCAAGGCTTGCAAACTGTCAATGTAAAGATCAGTGCCAGATTCATGTAGTCACATAAAATTATTAAATTCTTGGGTGATATTTGAGTGTAACACCTACATAGTTCATCAGCATCAGAAGAGCTGCACAGATGTAAATGAGAGTAGAAGCTGACCTTCTGAATTCACGTACTGAGTCACAACTTCATCTCAAAAGCTGATGTAATCATAATGCACTTCGCCTTTACATCCATTTTATCTCCCTACAATTCTCATTACTAAAAATAAACCTGTTCTGGAAAGTTGGAGCAGACATGTGACAGTGGCCACTTTGGATAAGCCCCAGCACTCAGACTCTCCTCCCCTATTAATGGTTCCATCGTGGTTCTGCTTAATGCTCCCCAGCACCAGCATCTGTTTTCTCCTAGATTACCTGGAGTCAAGACAAGAAATAAATGCAACAGAAGAAAGCTCCCAGTTCATTGCCTTCAGTGATTTGAATCAGTTTTGCTTTCCACATCATTTAAATTGTACTAAAAGAGAGGACCGGGTTCTGTTTGGTTAGCTGGAAATTCTCAGGCATCGGGCTGATTTTAAATGCAGTTTGGCACTGTGGAAATGTCAGGGTCACTCAGTGCTACACAGGCAGAACAAGAGGCTGTCTTTAAAATTTTTGATGCCTGCTGGAAGATGCAGAGATTGGTCTACCAAAAGTTAGTTGGACAATGTTACTATGACAAAATGTTATTCTACAGTTATGCTATTTAAATCTGCAAAAGGAGAGGAGGCTGTAGGAATAAAACCAACACCTGATTGCCATTTTCTAAGTCAATGGAGACTAATTTTAATGTAAGACCTTTTGCTTTTCTTACGCTATAATGGAGCAACACTGCAGAGCTCTACGATTTACATGACAACTGATCTACTCCTGCTGGAACCTTCAAAATTGGCTTGTCATAAAAATACTATTTTCCAGTGAAAAGGTAGAGGGTATTGCTTTGAAAGGGCTAGCTATGTCAGAACTAATTATTTCATTATCAAATTGCTGCTGACGTTAATATTTAGAAAAGCACCCAGGATACTTAATGTAGCTAGCAATGTAAAACAACAGACTTTTCAACTTACATGTTTGTAATTCTGTGAACTAAATTGAGATAGAGAGGGGGTGGTGTACGGGTGCCTACCACTGCATATATTAAGCCATAGTTTTTGCGTATGCGGTAGTGCTTGCTCACTTCTAAGAATGTTAGCATTTGTTGTGTACAATTATTTACAGTAGGCAAAGCTGAAAGAATTTCCTGTTAGAAGCGAAGGTGTCTGACGCTTCCCATTACAAACTCTTGCCACACTTTCTACATAACAGCACAAGCCTATGGACTATTCGAGGGAATTTCTGTGTATGTTTGTTAAATTTCAGTGCCTGAAACTGTTTAATTTACCACATCTTTCTTAAATTCATAGGAAGAGCAAGGCCAGCCTAGTAATAAAGACATCTTCAGAAGTGAAAGATGTGGTACGTGTCCCCACAGCTTCACTGTTTGGAAATGAGCAAAAGTGTAGATAAACCAGCAGCACAAGCCCTATGGTACCTTCAGAACAACATGAGCAGAATGTTTAGATCAAGAAAATTACAGTGAGAAATACTTCTGCTGTAGATCCTGGTGGAGTTTTTGTGGTGACAGTGCTCAAGAGAGACAAGGCTGAGGTGCCTGTGTGTGCCAGAGTTTCAGGTCACTGGGGGAAATCACAGGTGAAAATTTGAGCACCTCCAGGATTAGCTGGTAAATTGATGTTTTGATGATTTAGCTACCATTTAATTTCCATTCCCTGTAAAAGGGTTTCTTTAATTCTAATCCACAAGGATATTCTGTGATTTTTTTTCTACAGTGGGCATTCATTTATATGAAGTCTCCCTCTACTCCTTCTTTTGCAAAAAAAAAAAAAAAGAGAGAGAGAGAGATAGGAAAAAAAAGAAAAAGATGAACTGAAATTTCTGAAGTATTCTCATGACATGAATCAGTTTATGTGGTTATCCATCTGCATCTCATGGTGCTTTGACCTGGCTAGTCCAAAGCTTACCATATTATTTTTTTTGTATTCTTACCACAGGATTTTCTCAGTTTTTATGCCAGTCTTTGGTTTACTAACTTTGGGGAATCTACATTTTTAACTCAGTTACATGAGCTATACAGCTTACAATCACCTGTGAAGAAAGGAGTTGGTTGTTGTGTTTTGTTTTGTTTTGTTTTTCCACGAAATATTACCAAGATTGTGGGCTGCAACAAGTGGCTTGAAAAAGACATAAAACCAGGAGTATTACACAAGTTTATGATAAGAAGAAGTTAGGCAACTAAAGTTACCAGAAGAGGGGAAGCTGAACACTGCTAAGGCATCCCTGTTGTGTAAAATACAGCAGAAACCAGCTTACCCCAGTCTTGTTGCCAGTATATACCACAGACGTGTCCAAACCTGACTGAAAACCCTTCCTATACAAAATCAGGTTTAAGCCACTTTAGCTTATTAGTTCTGATAGTTTCACAAGAGTTTAAAAACACAGACTTTACACATTAATGGAAGAAGCAAAGTTCTCACTGTCAAGTGGTTTAAAAGTGAAGTTAACATTAGCAAAAAAAAAGTGTCAAGTGTTTTCATTGTGACAGATAAATTACTAAAAAACATTTCAAACGATGCAGTCTTAAAGCCTGTTTCAACAGCTATTCGGGTCAATTCCTTTTCTCCCCTAAATTAATGTAAGCAGATGAAAACCAAGCATGAATTCATGTTTTCTTGAAATGCTCGTTTTTGTGAGGGAAGCATGGAAAAGTGGCCTAATGAATCCTTCCTATAGTATGAGTTAAAGGATATGTAAGACAGTTTTAAGATCCTGAGCTGGTGAATTCGGAGGTAATTCTTTATGTTGCCACTATTTGACTTTTCAAAAATTGTGATCATCCTGTGAATTTAAGAGAATGCCACCACAAATCATTGGGAAGTATAAAAGTGTCAAATTTAACACTGCTGGGCATATTTTTTCATTCCCTACTTATGGACTATGTGTAATTAAAAAGATTTGGGACTCTGTGGAAATAACATAGGAATTATTTTCTTACTTACTAAGAAAGGAATTAAAGCCGATAGCTTTAATATGAGACAACAGGAAGCTTTTCCCTGTGTCCTAGTGGCTTTTTTTAAACTCTTGGTCCTTATCGGGCTCACTTGTCCCATTGGTAATCCCATCAGCCGCATTTCCACTGCCTAGATGTGCAAAGGAACAGCAAGTGCTGCAGATAAAATGACGAAGGTGTAAAAGCTCCTGCTCAGAAGTTAAATGAGAATCAGACGTCGAGACAGTTCAGGCTCAGCCTTTGGCAGGATCATTGCTTTTAATGCAATTTACTAATTAAAAATGAGCACCAGATTACGGAAAGACTGGAATGAAGCGGCTTGCTAAACTAGTCTTTTAGCTCCTTGAACTGCCCGCAGCAGCTCTGGTTTTCATTACGTCTAATTCATTTGAATATTGCCTGGCAATTATTAAATCACCTCCTGAAAAGAACAAACGCTGCTTGTGTTTTCAGCAGCAGCTCTCCACGTCTAGACCGGAGCCGTTCCTCCTACAGATGGCAATCAGCAGCCGGGCTCTGGCAGGTGTATTTTATTCGGCAGATGCACCCTAATCGCATTGTAGCGGATTAGCCGGATTTCTTCCTTTAAATGTACACTGCGGGCTCCGGCTCGCGAGCCAGCCGTGTCTTATCGCCCCCTTCTAATCTGCCAGAGCCTTTTGCCTCTTCCTTTCAGCAGCTATTTCTGTAACGGGTCGGACGGGGAAGAGCGCCGCAATGAACCGTAAGCGGGGAATCCTGCCCGCCTCCTGCTGCCGCCTGAGAGCCGCCGGGAAAGACCCAGAACGCAGCGCGGAGGCGGAGGAGGAGGAGGAAGAAGAAGAGGAGGAAGAAGAAGAGGAGGAGGAGGAGAGCGAGGGCAGCCGCAGGGCGGTGGCAGCAGCCGGGGCTGCGCTCCGAGGCCGGGGAGCGATGGGGGCCGGAGGATGACGAGCGGCGGCGCATCCCGCACCCACCGGCGGGCCCCGGGGCCGGCCGCGGCGGGGAGGCCGCCGGGCTGAGGCGGCGAGCAGGGCGCTAGCCCCCCGAGCCACCCGCCCCGATGGATAAAGCCGGCTCCCTGCACAGCGCCGTGCCCGCCCCGCCGCCCCGGCTCTACCTGCCGCGCAACTTCAGCTGCAGCGCCTGCCTCTATGGCAGCCTGGCCGAGCAGTGCAAGGGCGGCTGCAGCCCCGACGGCGACCCCCCCCCCTCCTCCTCCTCCACCTCCCCTTCCTCCACCGCCGCCCGTGGTGCGGGAAGCGGCGGGCGAGAAGCCCCCGGCGGCGCCCCGGGGCCGGGAGCCGTCGGTGCCCGCGGTGCCGCCCAGCCCCACGCAGCGCCGCAGGGCCAAGTCGCTGCCCACGCCCGGCGACCGCAGCCTGCGGCCGGCGCTGCAGCAGAGCCCGGCCCGCCGCAAGACGGTTCGCTTCGCCGACTCGCTCGGCCTGGAGCTCACCTCCGTGCGCCACTTCTGCCAGGCCGACCTGCCGCGGGTGCCGCCGCCGCAGCCCCCTCCTCGCCCCGCCGACCTGCTCAAGACCAGGAAGCCCCCGGCGCTGGGCGAGCTGGAGCCGGTGCTCTTCGGGCCGCCGCCGCCGCTGCTGGAGCCGCTCTTCCCTCCGCAGCCCGGCGCCAGCCCCGGCTTCGCCGAGCGGGTCCGGCAGCACAAGGTGAGGCTGGAGTGGGTGCGGGCGGAGCCGGCGGGGCTGCGCGGCGCCGTGCGCGTCCTCAACCTGGCCTACGAGAAGGCCGTGTCGGTGCGCTACACGCTCAACCGCTGGGCCAGCTGCGCCGAGGTGCCCGCCGCCTACCAGCCCCACGGGCCCCCCGGCGGCAGCACCGACCGCTTCGCCTTCCACCTGCCCCTCGGCGCCGCCGTGGCCGCCGACGCCACGCTGGAGTTCGCCGTCCGCTACCGCGTGGCCGGCGCCGAGTACTGGGACAACAACGGCGGCAGCAACTACCGCCTGCGGGGCCGCCCGCCCTCCCCGGCCGCCCTCTGCCTGCCGCAGGACCCCGACAGCACCGCCTGGATCCACTTCATCTGACGGGGACCCCGCTCCCTCCGGCCTCGCCTCACCGGGCGGCCGCGGCGCCCAGGTTCACCTCACAGAGCCGCCCAAGGCACCCTCCGGCCGCCCCTCACCTCGCCCTTCCCGCCGTCCCACCCAGCCCACCCTTCCAGAAGCTTCTTCGTAAGCCACCAGAAGATATTTTTTTCGATTCCGTTTACAGATAAATTGTTTCTCTTTTCTAACTTGGTAACGCCGCATAGGGATAAGCGTTCAGGCACCGGTCAGGGCGAAGGCTGGGTGTGAGGCGTTCGGTCCCACAGCAGCAGCGTGGCCGGCACACCGCCGGGTTTTGCGCCTCGAGCTCCTGACCAAAGCTGCTGCACAGTGAGGGGCTGGAATGAGAGGAGGGAGGCCGTCAATATTTGTGGGACTTAACAGTGAAAATCAGGATCCACTGGTGCAAACAAATGTTCGTGGGTGCTGTGCCCACAGCACTGGGTTCTGGAAACACCGGCAGCACTGCCCTGGGCACCCATCCTCTTTCCTCAGCCGCTGAGGTGCTGGATCCCTTCCCAGAGCCCCCCAGACCCCAGTGTCCACATGGACGCGGTCACTTGTGTTAATTGTTAATTGCAGGGGACAGATGGTGGTGTTGAACCCCAAAGCAGATGCCCCCAGGTATGGCTGTATTTCTCATGCTGAAAAAATGGCTGATGGGTTTGTAGCAAAGATTCAAGTTTTAAAATTTTGAACCCTGTTTCATACATTCATGCATATTTAGAAAAAGGCTAAGAGAAATAGTATCACGTATTAATGGAAATACAGCCTACTCACAGATTTTATAAAGCAAGCATTTTGTGTTAAAATCCACATGATACCTTCTAAAGGTCTGTCATGCTTGTTTCAGTAGGATTGTTCCATAAAGCTGCTCGTGGCCAGGTTGGCAGGGTAGTCCTGAAGTTGCACCAAAGAATTAGAGGTGGCAGGAATTGAATCCGTAATTGTGGTTTGCATCCCAAGCAACAGTTCCAGTTTTATTTCTGTTAACAGTCTAATTGGAGTTGTTATGCTAAGGTATCATGGCAGGAGCTTGCCTTTTGCAAAACAAAACGTTCCAGACTTTTCAGAATAATTCCAGAAAGTGGCAGATTTCACAAAGCTAGCTATGTTTCCTCAGTCAGATTGAGGAAAAGTAATATCTTTGCATAGAAGTAGAGAGGTATCAATAAAAAACATTGAAATTGCAGAGTATGTTGACTTCTGCCTTCAAAGAGCTATTTTGGGTGTTAGTAGCAGGGAACAGCATTTTCCTTTTTTAACTTTCTTTTTCAGGAGTTTGGCTGAATACAGGTTGTGCTGGTGCCAAATCTGGGTGCTGGCTTTCCAGGATTTAGGCACGTTTGTGTTTGCAGGTGAGGGACTTCTACAAAGATGACTTCTGAGAGTGGCAGAACGAATGCTGGTGTCATACTCCTGTTATGATGGGTTGTAGGATCAGGCCTTCAACATTTTGGACCTTTTGTAGATTGTTCAGGAATGAAGTGTAATTCTAACTGTATTCTTCGTGCTCCTCGTGAGGGTTAAGTATCCCAAACAGCTTGATTAATGCCAGGTTCTTATGGAACCTTTCAACTTCAGTGGAAATGGAGGGCACTTTTGTCTCCTGAGGGTCTGGTTGAGTCAGAATAATTAAACCTGTGAATTCTGGATAATATGGTCTGGCAAGTTGATGGGAAAAGATCATTTCATTTAATTTCTCTCTACTGCTTTTTCTGCTTTAATAGAAATCATACCAACTGTAGCCTTCCTGTAGTATTGGTTGCTTCGTTTTAATTCCCCAACAAGTTTTCTCATCAATGTGATCTTTATAGAAATAGAATATAAAAGAAACATGCTGTCAGCACCTGCTGAGTATTTAACATTTTAGAATATTAAGGCCCTGATCTTATATTGAAGTAACCCTATGTATCGCTAGCACACATCTATAAAGATAGAATTGCAGAATTCAGGTCCTAAACTGTTCATGATTAAAGCATATTAAGTAGCATGTTTGATAAAGAAAGCCCAAGTGTCTTCTAGCTAAACCTAGTTTGTTCTGAGAGCCTTAATACTGGAGAGAAGGAAGAGAACTTGTCTCCATTTGAAAGCACTTTGAAATACGGTGGAAATGCAGCCAAACTTCTTCTTATGTATGTGTTACAGCTTTCCAAAACATTTTTTTGCTTGGTCTGTCTTACCCACATACTAAAGCAGCAACAGTTTTTCTGAAGCATCATAATGATGTCATGTGAGGGAAAAAAATTTAGTTTCTGTGTGCTTTAGGTTAACCGATGCTATAACTTTGTTTATGAACGTTTAACCCCTCAGTCCAATATACATCTGAATATTAAACCTTTTGAAGATGTGGCACACCAGAAGAATGTTTCGGAAAGCAGACTCCTGAGCTTTTGAGCAGTTAAGCCGATGTTTAGTTCAACACTCAGTTTTGTGGGTAACTTTATGGGCTTGAGTTTGATCACAGATTATCAGCGGTATATGTTCAACTCCAGCAGAAGACTTAGTCTTCTGGAGCACTTAAAAACACCTTCATTTAAAGCCTTGAAAGGTGAGATTGGCCCGGCCAGCTTTGACTGGAGAATGCTACTGATGATGTCTGTGGAAGAAAATGTGAGGTATTTTAACAGAAACCTATCAGTGATATGTGCTGAAGCTGCACTGCTTTGATTACACGATTTCACTTCTATCACATTAATTTCTTCTCAAGATTTCCAAAAACATGGCTAGGTGCACTGACTGTGAGTACCTGTTCCACTGGCAGCATCCATGTATGGTTTCCAGTCCTTTAGTTTTCACTCTGATGCTATTTAGGTGGGGTTTGCTAGAAGCATTGTGATAAATGGAAATGAAATAAAATTAAAATCCCGAATAGAATTTACAATCTACATAAATGATAACTTTGAGGAGAAAAACCTGTGCTGGACAGGGTCCTTCTCAAGTTGGCAGGACATCAGGTCATTTTAATGGAAGGAGGAGCAAGACAATTATTTTTTTTAAAAAACACATTTCTAAGGAACATCGTTCCACGAAGTTAACTTTAAAAGGCAAAGTAAAATATTTGAATTATGTTTCAGGATACAATTTTTTCAAGCCAATCTTTTTTTCTGGAAAAAATGACAGCTCAGTTGTTTCTATTTGCGTGGAGAAAGCCCATGCCACCTTCCTTTCCAAGTGATGCTAGAAGGTATAGGCAAGGCAATAACCCTTAGGTAGCGTAATTCACTTTTAAGTAAATTATTCATAGTCACATTCATTATGTCTTTGGAAGTGTAAAAACCTGTCTGTCATTTATTGTGCAGAGTCATAGCTTTATGAAATGTGCCATCTTATTTTATGTGCAGTAGTGATACTTCCTGCAGTAAGTCAAATCGTACTGTGTGTCTGCTACACCTTCATGTTGGCTGTTGCACATTTAAGCTGATAGAGTTTTTGCATGTGATTCCATGCCTCTTAGGGCAATATTTGTGAAATCTACCCTAAACAATAGAAGTCCTAGCAGGGATCAAAACAGTTAAGTGACTGTAAACTGAATTTCAGCTAGCTAACCACATTACTATTCATTAGCCTAAAAATAATTGAAATGTTATACTAATTTCCAATAAATGTACATTACTTCAGGTTAATTAATTATTTTCTCCTTTTACCATTTGCAAATAACTTTTTGTTGTGAATGTGTGTGCCTCAGTATCGTATTAAATAGCAGAGCAAATGCACACTTTTTGTTACTGCAGCATGTGTGAGGGGAAGATGCATCACTTGAATGAACAGCTGTCTGTTCATACACATGTGTGATCTCTACAGATACATGAAATGTTTTTCCGAAGCGCCAACAGGCAAACCATCTGCTGATTCTATATTTTAAACATAAAGTAACCGACGGAAATACTCAGAATCTGCTTTTTAACATATTATTAAATATATATTGAAATCTTTATGTGCCTTTCAACATTTCCTAGGAAGAAATCTCCTTTGTTCCTTCACGCTCCCACCAAAAGTCCGGCAATGGCGTTCTCATTAAAATGAAATTTATACTAAAAAACTAATAATCAATTCTGATACCTGACACTCTTTCAACTGTGCCAGAAATCCTGCACCTCTAACAGCCAGAAGAATTTGATCATATTTTCCCATACTACAGTGAAAGGAGTTACTGTCAGAACCGCGTCTTCCTGGTACACCTCTGAAATTATTTAGCTAGGTAAAAAAACTGTGACTATAGTTAATATAACAGAATATATTTATTGTATATATTCACCACTTACACAGATATTCTAAATATATATTCTATCTGAAACCAGAAGTTCTAGTTTTTTATTAAATTTATTTGTGTAGACATGATCGTCTTTACAGCTTTACTGTTATTTACCTGATGCTGCATAATGCATATATCTGAAACTTATAGATGGACCCAATCTCGCTGCACAGTTTGTATCATGGGATTAAAGTGTTCACTATAGAGAATATTACAGAAAATGACATCTACCTTCCAATTGTATACTGCATGGCCTTTTGGCAAGTCATCTGTAATTCTGTTTCCTGTATGCACTTCATGTGTACGTGTTCTGAATATACGGAAGGATTACCTACTGAAATTAAAACTTTTTCAACACTGAAATTAACATTTTACGAGCATATATAGTTTAACATAGGAAGTAAACTTAGTCAATTTTGCTGTAAAGTGGAAAAAAAAAAGCCTTATGTAGAGCGGATCAGGATTTTTTAATGAAAGATGGTGACATTTTTCAAAATGGACCATGTTCAGGGAAACGTATGTGTTTCGATAGGAAGGATTTCTCAGGTTCAGCTTATATGAGAGAATTGTCCTAAAATAGTTAGGTGGTAAGAGTACTTCTTTAATCAGTGTACAGACTTGAATGTAGGTCTTCCATAATCAAAGTGAATTAAACTATTGGTTATTCCTGGGGTTCCACGTTGTCTTTATCCAGCTTTTGAATATTGCTTTTAAATTATTTTACAGAGAGGTTTTTTAACCCAGGAGTTTCCTATCTTGTATGGATATTCTCTTCATTCAGTTATTGAGTTTTGTTTGAGCTTTCTGTTTTTGAGAAAGGTCTGATTGTATTGTTATGCAACATTAGACAATAATTTTACATTTCATTTTTAGGGGGAGGTAAGCAAACAGCTTTCCTTTTGGTTTTGTTTGTTTTTGTTTTTAATATTAAACAATAGCATGCAGAATAAAACTGTGCTTGAAATAACATATGCACTAGTAATTCCAAAGAATATAGCCAAGAAAAATGTCAAATGTGAGATGTGCTTTTTAAAAACTTATGTCTGTTGATTTAGTAAGGCAGGAAAAAAGTCCTAGTCTCCAGTGCAAGTGTATTTATACCAGGGATTTCTTTCTATGCAATATTATGGTGCACCTGTTTTTTTAGGGATTGACTTGATTGCTGTGGTTGCTGTATCATTGTGTTGTGTGTAGAATATTTTGTTAAAGTGTCATTAAGGAAACTATGTCTTAAATGGTGTTATATTTTTAGGCTCTTTTTTGTGCAATCTGACTTCACTAAATCGTAAGCATTCTCTGAGTAACAGTAGCAAGACAATATTTCATACAATTATGCAAGTCTTGTGCGTTATACTTTTCTCTAGTCACCTTCCAGGAGAAAACACTGTGTTAGCGTTGTGAGTTTTAAAATTTTGTATTCCTGTATCTTAGAAATACACCAAATTGTATTATACTTTTGAACTCAGAAAGCTAATATATATATGTTTTTAAAGTTGATCAGGACTGGGATCCACATTGCAGTGCAGGAAAGCTAACTGCTGTGACAAAAAAATTAAGGTTCTTGAAGAGGTTTAAACAAACCTAACTCCTCCCACACAGTGGTAAATTATTTCTCTTGTTAATGGAGATGCTGTCTGTCCAAGAGTGGGCTCCTTAAGCGCAAGCTTTTGTTGTTGTTTCTTCGATTTACCTTGACTTTGTTGGAAAAAAAATAAGAATTTGTTTCTTAACTGTAAACTTTACGAGTAAGTTACTTTTGGTTGCAGTTTCTTCTGCAATGTTTGTATTTCACTAAGTAATGTTTGTTTCTAATATTTGTAACAATACTGTGATATCACCAAAAGTTCAAAATCAACGTTTTCTAATAATGCCTTGTAACTTACCTAGCCTTACAGTATTTCGGATTATTTTCCACCAAAACTGCATCTAGTCACTGGTTGTCACAATTATGAAAAAATATATATTCATAAACCTGTAGCTTCTTGCTGTCATTAAAGATTAATGATACAAATTGTGAGCATATATAAACCTCTTTTTTAACCGACAAACAGTTATGTTCTGATTCGTCCATAGTGCACAGAGGAATGCTTTGGGTGATGTGCCTGCACATCCAAAGGCAAATATTCAGCATTTCAGGCCAGTTTTCAAGCCTGCATGTCTTCAAGCAGTCTCTGTTGAGAATATCTCTATGGAAGTTGCTGTATGCTGAGTTGGGTTGGAAGTCTGGTCTCCTAAAGTACAATCAGCTCTCAGAAAGATAAGATGGGATTAATCAGTTGGCATAAACGTCGGTAGCTATCTTTATAGTCTGATGTCTCGGCACAGTTTCAAAGATAGCCAGTGTAGCAGTCTGTAGTTCAGACGGGGATGCCTGTACTTCAGTTGCTTGTGGCTTTAATCCTTCCCAGTTTTGCATTGCCATGCTCACCAGCAACAATTGGACCAGTCTGTGCAATTCACCATTCAGCTGCCAAAACCTGTGCTAGGTAGTAGGTGGTGCAGAAACAGCAGTATTTCAGGTGGTACTTCAGAGAGTAGCTCTCATAGAGGGAAGGTATGAGATACATTAATAGAATTGTGATTTTATTTTATTTTTTTTAAATAACAGTTTAGATTTTCCAGTGCTGAAGGACCACTTGGTCTAGGAGGAAGGTTTCTAAGCCCCATATATGCTGAGCACTAGCTGTAATAGAGCTGTTTCTTTAATGGGCACATACTTTTTCCTTCAGTGATGATGCAGAGTTGAGACTATCCAGGTATGAGTTAATGAATCTCAAGGACTCATCCAAATTTGTCCTTCAGTTACCTCTCTAAACATATGGAAGACATGGGAAGTAGACAAATCCTTCTAAGGTTTTGAACATCTGGATTCTCTTTGTTGGCTAATGTATTACCAGGCAAACTGGTTGAAGAAATGCCTCTCAGGCTAATAGAAAGTTGACAAAAATGTTTCAGTTGTAGCTGAGCTGATTTCACTTACCAGCTGTGGCACAACTGGGGGAGGTCAGAACAGGCAGGAGCTGCCAACAAGACTTAATTCTCTGTCATTTTCTCTTGATCCAGACCCCTGCAATGAAGAAGGGAGGGGGTGATGGCTGAAGAACAGACGTACGGATGCAGACTCATCCTCCTAGTCTCGTGGATTGACTTTCATGGTTAGAGAAAGGTAGAAGTACTGCACCTCCATTAAAATACATCTCTGAGCAAAACACATTCAATAGCATAAATAATTAATCAGTATAAACAAATGACAAATAAAACAGCCTAATAGCAGAGGATGTATGACACTTGTACTGCATTAAAATAGATCAGGTCTGATGTGTTTGAATTATGCTTTGTCAGGAAGAGAGGGGTATCAATATTGTAAGGGTAACTATCCAATACAGACAGCACAGACTATGTTCCTCTGCCAAGGGCTGTCCTTCTAGGACTGTGTCTCAAAACAGTTAGGGGAAAGTGAAGAATTACACTGAGGATGCTCCTAGGCTGCTCTCATGGTTTGTCTCAGGCTCATGCCAACTAGAGCATATCTTGCTAGTAATTTACACTAATTGGCACTGCCTGCTCAATATTCTTGCCATGTTGCCTTACATCCATAAGGTCAAATTCCCCAGGAGTGGCTTTCCCAAAGGTGTTCAGTTTTCCATCAGCCCAGTTTCTTTTCACCACATAAAACCACGTCTCTTCTCTGTGGAAGTGGCATGTATTATGTATTATGTAGGTGAATTTTGCATTCTCTCTAAGACTGATACAGCTTCATTAATGTTAAAAGCTGTTTTGCCTGTGGCGTTGATGGAAGAACATTGTTCTTTTCCAAAGCTACCAGTCAGACTTTGCTAGGTTATTTGAAAGGCTCCCAATGACTTAGTGGATGGCATCATACTTAGAACTCAGTAACATTTTAGACTGTGCACATACAGCCTTCTCCCTGGCCAAATGCCTCATCTTAACAGCCTGACAAGAGATGCTGCTGGAATGAGGAACTGTGGGAGAAGAAAGGTGGTAAGATGAGGGATACGATATAATAGGGTCCGAGTGAATTCTTGTTATGTACAGTTCTGTGAGGAGTGGTTTATGAAGATTTTCGATATTCTTAGTATTCTTTCTGATCATAAAATTGACCTAGGCCAATTAAATGGCACTAAAGCTGAGTCACGGCTGTCTCTCAGACAAGCAGCTGAGCTAGAAAAACAGGCTGACCGCACTTCCACGTCCTTACCTTTACACGGTACCCTCTCTAACATTTTGAGTGCCACCGTGTGGTGAAATTGTACAATTACTTCTTTTTTTTAACTAAATGATGTAAATCTGCATCTCATCGTTTGACAGCCTGGAACGTTCTGCCCACTGGTGAACTTTTGTTATTAGTGAATTAGGCACTATTCTTTTTCCTTCTCTTTTCCAAAATAAGCCGTGCATGTGGTGAAACTTCCGTTGTCCCTTGCTGTGTGATGTCTACCAGCACCACAACAGAAAAACCTCACACTCAGTTGAAGACCTGAGTGTCATTCTGGATTGATTTATTGGTGCAGCTCTGTTTGTTTGTATGACCAGTGTGACAAGAAGATAGATGGTATGTCCTTTAAATGTCCACTTGGCATATTAAAATTCTGTGATGGGAGCCATTACCTATAGCACACAAATTCCCAATCTGTCAGTATGAAGAAAAAGCAAAGAGGTACCTGTCCGCTCCCTGGAGACACCAGTTAAAGGGAGCATTAGAAACAGATCTGCCACACTCCTAATCTAATCATCAGGGCTGCTTAGGTAATTGTCTTACAGCTAATTTAATGACAGTGAAGTTGACATTGTCCTTATTTTATGTTCATGACAGTCTCCTGACAAATTAGAATAATATATTCATAGAAACTTATTTCCAATGCTTACTATGCTTGATATGATACTAACCTATGTGATGTAACATCTTTATTACTAAAATTAGCTGATGGCTCACTAGCTGTGTACAATGGTAGTTTGATACATCTGTGTAATGTTGCCTGAATTCATGATGTACAACCTACACAGCCATAGCAGTAGTGGGATGGCACTACTTCAAAACACCAAGTGTTATGATTAATGTGGTTTTGTTCTTTCAGCTTGATACCATTGATTCGCTTTTCCCCTCTGATCAGAATAACAATTACATGATTTACATTTACATTCATGATAGGTCATGATTCACTGGGAGAGGCGGCAATTTGCAGTTCCAAAAAGGCAAAGTTTTAGGTAAGCAGTCTTTTTAGGGCTGCTGTTGATAAAAATCTTCAAAACTAAACATGGATTGAATAAAAGCTTGTACTTTTTTTTTGTAACTCAGTTAGATAATCTGAGAGATAAAGGGGTTGGTGTCTGTGAAACAGAAATGACGTGCTGGCAAGAGGAAAAGTGTTGATATTAACCTCGATGTTATAGAGAGTCAAGATTATTGATTGTGGGAGAAGTATGGAAATTATGATTACCCTAGAAGTAATCTCTCTACTGAGTCTGTAACGTTTAGCATCCAGTAATTATTAGTGTTGTCCTCAAGCTCAGGATCAAGATTTAAGAGGGCACAGATAAAGTGGTTATTTTGTAAAAAAAAAGTCATCTCCTTTATTCATTTTACATAGGAACACACTGGTAAGCATGTTTTTTTGTTTTGTTTTGTTTTCCCCAGTTTATACACCATTTAGAATTGTGTCATAGTTCAAAACTAAAACACTTTCTATCCTTCATTTTATTTTGATGAAAGGCATTCATTACGGGTTGAGGTTGCAAACTCGCATTTATGGCGTTGCAGTCTGGCTCCAACCCAGGCACGCTGGTCTGGCTGAAGGTTCCTCCTGAGGATGAATGTAGCAAGGTTGTAGGATTATTTGAAAACTGGGAGTACTGCTTATGTAGTATGCATCAAACAAGAGACAACACATCACTTTGGCACTATAATTCAGGTAGTTCAGTGGATTATAGAAAGATACAAAATTATTTGTTTCAGTGGATTTGCTTAGCCTGAATAGCTGCAGAATACCTAAACACTCCGTATTAAACCACCCAAGAAAAGTGCCTAGGTGTCATTGCTCATCTCTTTAGAGGAGCTGGGAGAAGAAACGTTATCAAATTGGGAGTTCCATGCATTCCTACCTTTGTTTATCTGCACTCCAATTTGAAATAAACCTTCCCTCCAAAAAGCATACAGGGAGGCTGCAGCCCTAACCTGACATCAGGGAGTCTACTACAGGCAAGGGTCAAGCTCTTAGCCCTACGGCCCTGACTGTGTGACTGCCATGAATACTGCATGATACTGTGAAAAATTAATAAGTTTTTAGTCTTTTTAGATCTTAAAAGAAAGCCCTACAACTTTATGCACTAGGAATTTTGACAAAGAGGTTTTTGTGTAACTTACTGTCTGCTTCAGTCATTTAGAAAGGCTGCGCTTTTGAAAGTAACTTCCAAAGGAATAGGAATTCTACCTTTGTCACCTTAGATGGATTAAACATCTACCTACTTCCTGTTAGATTGACTTAAAGGTACTTGGTTTTCTCTCCCATTTTGTGCTTAGCTTCTAACAAGCATTTTAAAATTGTAGGAAACAGTTGTAGTCCAAACCTCTGCTGTACAATTATACTTTCCTAAGATACAGGTCTGTACAACTCAAACTTGCCTTTATATGTCACATCAACTTTGAGTGCACATTTGCAGATTCATCAAATATTAAGTCTAATGCAAGCAGCTGCTTTAGTTTATGGTTTGCAAAAGGAAAGCTTAAGTCTCGTTCCTTTTACATCCTCATTGCAGCAGCATGCCTACTTGATCCTCACGATATACATTACTACATTGTATGTCAAACTACTACTATCACACCATTTTCAAAAAGTATTTATTCTTGTGAAATCACCACAATTGTTAGGCACAAGATGTAGAATACCTTAATTGCTTGTGACATATGTAGTGCTTACTTAGTCCAGACAAAAAAAAAAAAATCCACTCAAGAACCTTGCTAAATGGTCAGTGCATGAGTTCTGCATTGTAAGA